CAAAAAAAACATATAGACACAAATTTAAAGAGCGGTAGCACTGTTTTTGTTTATGGGGAATACCAAGCAATATAAAAAAAATTTAAAAAAAAATTTTAATTTAAAAAAATCGCAAGAGTAACCCATTTTTTTTATAAGAACAAAATGTATTGTATTGGTGATATTATTTTTTTCGCAACTGTATGTACTTGGAAGGTTCCACCAGTCCTCCTTGGATTCCGTTTACTGCCGTGACTTCCTACACATGAAATATAAACATGTTTCGGTAGAAATTTCAATGTACAACAGCTGATGGCAGTATCATTTCACTATCATGTACAATATTCCCATTAGAGTAGCCATTTTTATCGTTCGGGAACTACAAATATAAAGAGCAGAATATTGAATTATTGTAACAGTTTCTCTTTGAAACCCTTTGGGAATGTTCCCATCGTTATCTGTACCCGTATGAGACCCAATCAATATTCCATTGTCTGAGTAATTATTTCTCTGCACCTATTAAAGTCTTAGAGCCAAATCAATGCAACTGCATTCAGTATTTTCTACTTTTAAAACTCGCAATTGGTGATGTGTTTTCATAGGATTCGAAAACTTGAACAGAGATCCACACAAAATATCTCCCAAAACAAGACAACAACAAGTGCCAACTACTTTTTGTGACCATCGTATGCTAAATCATCATCTTTGTAATTTTGTGGAAATGAGTATGGGGGAATCAGTAAATAGTTGTGATGTTTCGACCAACCAGAGGAATTTGTTTTGCAACCTTCTCTCATTTTAGTTAGCAATCTCTAAACAAGTTTAAAGGAGGAATTTCGGGATCAAATTGCCCTCTTGCTGCCAGTAGAGATTAAATCTGTCCCGGATTTGTCTTTAATCTGTCATAGGAATTGCAGTTGTCATGACATTAGGATCGAGCATAAGTCCCTTTCAGTTCTCCCCGTTTTACATTTTCTGCGCGCCCTGGAGAAAGTCAGTTCTGTGGCAGATTCGAGAGAAATTTCGTCTGCGCCGTGGGGCTTTCTGGCTTTGCTTTCCAAACTGCAAATTCAGCATCTAGCCAATTTGGAAGACTTATGGCCCGAACAAAGCGATTGTTTGGCAACCCAACTTTGCAGACACTCCGAGAAGTGGAAAAACAATGGAGGCCGACGCCAACAAAACAACAACTACGACGACGACGACGACGACGCCAACTGATGCGCAGATTTTCAGCAAAAAGCGCAAAATATAATTAGTAAAGTCGTGATAAAAACGGAGAATAGCAGAGAGGAAAAAACCGTACAAAAATACATTTTAGAGGCCTGTTTTTGCGTTTGTTGTCGTTTTTTGTGGCTTTGCGAAGCGAAACGTTCAATTAGCGTCCAAAAGCGATGTTGCCACTTTTCAGTACGGCACGAAAACAACGAGAAGAAATTTTCCGCGCTTTTGGAAGCTCTCTCTCTCTCTCTTAGTTGTCTTGTTCGCTCAACGCTCTCTCAATTCGACCGGCTAAAAGTGCGGCGAATTCGGCGAGCGAAAATATCTTGTCAGTACACACACACACACATGCACACATATCAGAAACGCACATTCATTACTACAATTTACTTTTGTGATGCGCTGTTGCCGGTTTTCACCCATTACGTAGCATGGCGAAACCGAAAAAACAACACGTTGAAATCGTTTGTTTGGATGGGTGGGTGTGGGAGTGTGGGAGTGGGGGGGTGGGCGCAGGAGAGGCAGCTCGAGGGTGAGAGTTTGATGTGGTTGTGAATAGGGTGGCGGCGAGTGCGGCTGCAGTGTATGTTTGGCGCCATTTATGACGATGATTAAGTTAAATCTCTATTGTGTTAGGCGACAGGATTTTTATTCAGTGACCCTCCCAGACTATTCACACGCCCCTAGGATGCTGCCAGCCACCCCTCAAATGGGGTGACAACTAGATTGGGGCACTGGCACGGCATTTACCCATATTTATTTATAAACAATTACGGGCGCTTCGGCATTGGGGCGCATGTAAAACATTTTAATTATAGAACATTCTGCGTGTAGCTGTGGCATTTCGATTTCGCATTTTTTGTTTCGATTAAATTTGCAAATATGCGCCGCAGCAATGATGTCATTGGGGAATGGCATGGCCCCTACGGTACTCTCCAGCAAGGAATTTAATTTCTGTTTGGGATTACAGTTAGCAGCTGTGGTGTTCGATCCTGTGTGACGCAGTATGACGTCAATCGTTGCCGGCAACGCATCTGGCTGTGACGCCATTTTATGTGGCCTGTGGCATGGACTTCGAAGGTGGTTTGGATTACGGTCAGAAATGAAACAGAAAACAATAACTGATGAATAGCTATGGAAGTTCGTAAACTATGCAAGCTGTAGGAGAGGCCTACAAAGTGTATTCGTTCCAGGAAAACTGTTTGCTTTGACAGCAATTTGTTTCGATGGATGTTTTCATGGAGTTCACTCGGATGATAGGAAGCTCTGGTAGGAACACAACTATGGAACTTGAACTACCTCTGTGTCCCTAGAACCTTAAAGAATGTTTTGTTGTGAAAATTAAGACCGATATTCTAATCATTCCCATATAGAGGCTCATCTTTAGTTGAACTTGAATGCAATTTATTGTTTACTCAATTCTCCCGGCAGCGGGAATGCTGTATTTAATTGTTCCCTGTAAAAAAGCAAATAAATTAGTTTGTTAATAGTTTCACGATCTTCTTCTCAAATTGGAAGCTGCCAAACATCTCAATCCCATTAACATTAGCGCAGCAGCAGCAGCGCGCCCACAGGCCCACTTTTGGCTACCGAATATGCCAGCGGCGGAGATCTGGTCTGGTCTGGTCTCTATAAATCTACCTTTTCGACAGGCCATTTCATTAAAAATGGTAATTTGCAACCGGCCGAGGAGCTCGCTCTGAGCAGGGGAATGAGTCAGTGGTGGCGGCGCGGCGTTGGCAAACGACCATTTTATGGCCCGTCACTCAGAAGGCCAACTGCGGGGCGAACAAGCATAAAAACCGAAAATGGAGAACTATGGGGAGAGTGGCGTGCCGTGGCGTGGAGTGGAGAAAGAAAACGCCCTCGCACATCGGAGGATGATGTGCCTCCGCAAGCTTCCAGAAGAAAGGTCGCAATATGGATGAATAATCACGATACTTGTTAGTACAGTAGTAGCCAAAAGTTAACGAGAGCATTAACCGTACCCACGGTACCCAGCAATTGGCAAAAGCGCCACGGGCCAAATGAATTGAAGCCCACTGAAACCGTTCAAAGTGTAAGATCACATTTAGTGGACGGTGTAACTAGACTAAATGGAATCGGAGTGAATTGAATCTCCATAGAGGGTACTTAAATTTCAGCCCAAAAACGAAAACGTTTTAATTTTTGTATTAGTCAAATATTTATATACTGTCATGGAGTCATCGCTAATGCAATCGGTCCATTCTTGTTACAACTTTTGGAATCATATGCCCAAAGCTATTGATATCATGATATCTAATATCCATTATTCTGGCTCATCTGGGAAGTACAGGCACGTAGAAAATGAAGGAAGAAGCTGAAGAGAGGAGAGAGAACAGAAATATTCGAGAGAAATAAAACCGGTTGCGAGCGAATTCAGTTCGCCGTGCGGCGAATTGGAATCGACGCGTTTTAGATACAATTGGTCGGATTGTTGGCAAATACGATTGGTCGACGAAAGACAGCCGAAGTGCGTCTGATTTTCTATTGGGCCACGATTGCAACTTCGTGTAACTTTGTTTGCTCGCTTGTGATGGGCGTTTTACTTCGTCAGTCTGCAGAAAAAAAACGGCGAAAAAATGTGGTCAAAAGCGTGAACAAAGCTAAATGTATAATTATTAGAAATAAAAAACAACTCGAGAAACTAAAAATTGTGCTGGTGCCTCAATGGCCGCAAAGCTGCTGTGCTGCCTGTGCTGGGCGCCGGTGACTGTGTCGTGGTGGGTGGTTTCTACAGAAGGGGCGCAAGTGGGTGTGCTCTTTGTCCTCTTTGTCCTCTTTGTTAAATTCCTTTTTGATTTTTTTGGTATTGTGTGGGTTGATCCCACAGATGAGTTTTGGAAATAAGAAACAAATGCATAATAGATAACGATTGAGGAGCTGTTGGAGCTGCCGCCATTACCCCCCGCTTGTTGCATAGCCAGAATTGTGCTCCACTATACATGTATGCACATACATATGCATGTATATTGGGAAATACTTTTACTCTCCGTGGCCTTGCTGCTGTAGATCGAATTGCTGCGGGAAATGCAAGGCTATTGTTAAGCATGCACCAAGTACTGCGGCAAAAACAGTAATACAAATCAAGTACAGTTGCGTTCACAAAGCTCCAAAATTCGCAGTAAAGCCCCAGACCTGCTGCAAAAGTTCCCATTCAAGAACTGGGGACGCTCAACAGGCCAAGCCTACACGTCTTCCCTTCATTATTCATTACGAAAATGACAGCAAAAAACTGTATCTACACTTCCATTCAGAGTCAGCCATATGGAAAGATATCTTTTCAGGCGCTCAAAATGCGCAAAGGAAAAGTCAAAACAAAGGAAAATACTTCCCAGTTGTGTGTGTGTGTGTGTGTGTGAGTGGAGTATAATGAAACTCGGGTGATTTTCGGGGTGGAAACACAAGAGAAGGTGGAGTAAAAATGTGGGATTCATGGGGTATACATACATGTGTACATTTATTTACATACAAACATATACAGCGATATGTGTACGTACAGTTACTAAAATTATTACATTAATTCAGCTACATGTAGATATCAAATCAAATACCTAAAAACTTCCGTGCGCGCCATCTACCTGTGATATCAAATTCGTGGCTGTTTTTGGAACTAAAAATCTCGTGTGGCGCCACTAGGCAAGTTTCTGTCTGCAAAATATGAATAGGCGCCACAATAGAATTTGCCGGCAATAAATAGAACTTCCTAGTCCCTAAGAAAACACACAGAGCGCGCTACTGAGATATGTACAGCATACCGGCTGGCTTATGTCAGACTGACAAACCGAACATAATCAGGCTGCCAGACAGCTGCAAAATGGCAGCTCCATTAATGTCAAAGGAAGTTCGAGTCTAATGTTAATCCGAAATGTCCAGTTAATTCTATGTTATATACAGCGCGAAAATGGAAAAAATCAAATACTTGTATTGTACTTCAGCCAGGAACAAGCAGACGGCTGTCTGTTCCTTCATCAACTTCAACTTCAACGCGCCCTGGACGAGGTTGTACGCAGCTACGACGAGGACCTGGACATCCCGGACGTCAAGCAGATGGGTTGGGTGTGGGTAGGTTGCTCTCCATGGATAGGGTATAACGCGAATTCCCTGCATATGCACATATATTTATACCCGTACTCAAAAAGAGTTATGGGGTATATTGTATTTGTCGTAAAAGTGGATGTGTATACCGTAGAGAAGGAAACTTTTCCGACCCCATAAATTATATATATTCTTGATCAGCATCAATAGCCGAGTCGATATAGCCATGTCTGTCCGTCCGTCTGTCCGTCTATCCGTCTTGATGAGCGCCTAGATCTCAGAGACTATAAGAGCTAGGGCAACCAAATTTGGTTTCCAGACTCATGTGATATCACACTGCTACAATGACCAAATCTATCAGGTTGCCGAATCTGAATCAGATCGGATCATAATTATAGCCGGAATGAAGAAATCAATTTTCAGCTGCTTCCCCCGCCTCCTTCAGCAAGAGACTCTAAATGGTACATGTACAACCTACATGTTAGATGTAGAGTATACTCGTACATTGTAGATGAGATAACAGATGTAGCAAAAAAATGTAAGCTATAACAATTTTTTTTTTAATTCTAAAATTCTAAAAAATCATATCCTCAAAAATGTATATACTGATTGAGTACGGGTATAAGTATAAGAAATTAAAAGTTGAAAAAGAAAAAAAAGCACACGTATTTGTCCATACGTGTAGAGTCGCGTCCCCAGAAGGGACTCACACGTTCCTTCTCGTTTTATATTTGTAGAATGCCACCGAAGTCACTCACGCAGTTCTAAAACCCTCAAGAGGAGCTCAGAGCGATCGATGGATGGATGGACGGCGAATGGGGCAGGACAACACAACAGAAGCATTCTAATCCATAGATTCTAATTATTAGGGAAGGGGCAGTTGCAGAGCAAAGCAGGTAGAGCCAGTGGAAAATTGCATATCAGGGTCTTCATATACTGGAATTTAATCTCCATACAAGAATGAAAAGCCCGAAATAATCTCAGCCGACTCGAATCTGTTGACCATTTTTTTTGCTGTTGGAAATTTTTGCGGGCAGTGTTTTTGCCCAAAAAGAGCCCAGCTTTAATGGACTGAAACCATTAAACTAGACTTGGACTGGATTAAAATTGTAGTAGTTGGATTCTGAATTCCTGGCTTTTTCACTGGCTCAGCTCTGTGGCAATTTCTGGTAATGTAAATACTCGTATTTCCTCTCGAAACCGCACCCTGCAACTAGGTCTGGGCTCAATAAATTTGAGGCAAACAAGTCCGGAATAAACAACTGCAACAGTCAGCACAAATATTTGCACAGGATGCGTTCTAGGTGGTTGCCAAAAATGCCAAATTCATGTCGAATGCGGGAGTTGTTGCCTTTTGATTTGGCCATCATCAATATTGATTGCCGACTGCTCTAGTTTGCTGTGCACTGTGCCTACCCTGCCGCTGTTTGTGTTTTCACAATTTAGCCGGTAAAATTTGTTATGCCACAAATCCCCAGCAGCGGCTGTCGAAACGGGAGCCAAGGTGCCATCCCACACAGGGCCACGACTGTGTCCACCACATGAAATCAGTCCAGTCATAAATACTTCATTACCTTTCGAATAACACTCCACCGATTCCACCTAGCTTGTTGCATATTTGAAGTGCTTTTCGACCTGACCGACCACGTGCATCACCTGGTCGAAACGTGCCGCCAGAATAATCACAACTGAGATTGGTTTTGCCAAATTGCTATGGCTATTTATTAAAAATCAATGCTGCTTGCCACAAAACCAGTACACAGCACCAGCAGCAACGACGAGAGAAAATCAGCAATTTCAGCAGCCTTAACGCCGTGTCCTGTCCGACACCCTTACCCAGAGCAGGGCCCGAGAAATCGTCCTCGGTTTGAGCTCCGGTAAATGTGGCATTACACTGTGCAACAAAGTCAGAGATCCCACCCCCCAATCGAACTCCTTCCCTTGCTGCTAATTGAAAACCGATTTGGAGCGAACATTGCAAATGATTCTTGGCCATGTTGCGCTGTGTAAGCGGATGCTGACAGTTGGTCCAGACAAGCCAAAGGCCAACACATGCCACATCGTGTCGTGGCGGAGTCTGCCGAACCAGGACCTGCTCCAAGCAGCTGCTGCCGTCGCCGTTGCTCCTGCTGCTGTGCTGGGGGGCGACATTTCCGGGCAGTCTGAAGTAATTGCAGGGCAAGCTGTTGCCGCTGACAGTGAGTTGGGGAGTTGGGGTGTGTCTGTGTCTCTTCTCGGTCGGTGTGTGTGTGTGTGTGGCAGCTCGGTTACCCTGGACACTGGTGTGGCGGTCAGCTAAGCCAGCAAGAGGCTTATGTTAGGCATTTCGTTAGGGGGTCACGCGGCGTATGGGGAATGAAAAGGGAATGCGGCCGGAAGCGAAATTTGGCAGTCGCCATTTGCAGGGTCTTAAAGCCAGATAGAGTGGGGGATGAACGGAGGGATGAACGGAAGACCAAATCGAATTCGGATGCACTGCTCTGCTCTCCCTGCCTGTCGCTTCTGCACTGCAAAGTTACGTGACTTTTTTGGGGCCAATTCTTTTTTTTATCGTCAGGCGACGACTGCACTTGGAATGGCGTTACATGGGGGCTGTGTGCTGCAGGGGGGAGAGGAGAGGTGGCCAGGACAGCCTCAAGCTATCCGTAGCCGTGGCCGTATCCGTAAACATATCCGGGCCTTGCCGTGGCCATGGCCTGCGCGCTTTGCATATTAACTAAGTGAAACATTTCGTTGACAACTTTTCAAACATTTGTGCGCCCTGTATAAATATTTACAGCGCTCAGTGTTGGCCGAACACCAACAGCGGGGGATCGGGGATTTGGGATATGGGATTTGGGAGGACTGGGGGCCGGGATTCGCCGCGGTGTCCAACAGATCCAGACGGATGCCCGAAGACGTTTAAAATTGAAATTTAAATTCGATACATAAATGGGGGGAAATAGAAAAGAAAAAGGGACTCCGCTTAGGCATATCCCTTTGACCGTGTTGCTTAACATATCCCTTTCCCCCCTCCCAGTCCCTTTCCGCACACCATTTTGGCGCTGCTTTTTGGCAATTTGAAATACAAATTTTACACCATCCCTCGGAATCAAATGAGCCAAGGCCAATAAGTCTCTGCCGCCAGTTCGACTTTCTTCTTTCGTTCTTTTTTTCCGGTTAGCCCTCGAGCCCTTTTAACAGTCTGTCTGGGCCTCACTGGATTTGCGTTCCACAGTCCAGCCCACCTCTGCATCTGGAGCAAACACACACCCACACACCCACACATATTTATTAAATATTGAATGTTTTCCCTCGCTAGATGACTACGCCGCTGGCGGCCAAAAAAAAAAAAGAAAAAGTTTTCCTTTCCCTCTTCAATGCCACTTTCATCCTTTGTGCCCAGAGCTATAGGGAGGACACGACAGGCAGAAAGCTCTACACTTTTGGGGGCGTTTTGCTATTGACCCAAGCCTAATATCTGCATAAGCAGATATTCTGCGGTCAGAGACACATAGATACATCAATGGGGCTATAATACTGACAGGGGACTCTTCTATGGAACAATAATGTCTGGAAAATGATTCTAAGAACATCAAATATAGATATTAAATATTTTTCATCTCACTGCACTCTCGATATGTGTATCTGGGGAGGCTGAGTTCAGAAATCAGAGCACACAAAGGGAACGATCGCCTTTTTTGAGAGTTCTTAAAGCACTAGCACGCAAGATTTATATATGAGAGAACTTTCAGTCGCAGAACACTTTCGGTTTGATTAAGTTTCTATTCAAATTTATTCGGTTAGGATTCAATCCTAGGACTTAGCGGCCATAGATCTCGATGGTGGAGTTGAGGCCGCGATTAACCTGGCTGCGGAGATTGATCTGAGCGAATCGGTAGCCTGGACCGCCGGACCACAGAGCGGGAGCGGCGCCAGAGGTGTTCTTGAAGTTGTCGTAGACAAAGATGGCCGAGATGTTGTAGTAGTTGACGGTGCCCTGCAGTCGATGGGAGGGGGGATTCAAATTAGTATTGCCCACTCCAAGTACGAGTACGAGTACACTTACCGCACGTGGGAAGTCCACGTTGACGTTCCAGTAGTTGTTCTTGATGGGGTTGCGGACCTCCACCTGTCGGGAGAGCAGATAGTCGTTGTTGTTGCGACGTCCCCAGCTGGCGCTGGAGCCATAGCACAGAAAGATCGCGGCAGCGAGAACGGTGAGACTGAGGAGGAACTTCATGGTTACTGTTGAGCGTTCAAGGCAGATGTGGTGTCAGCTGCTGGGCCCCGCTGTCTTATATACCAATACATAATCGCACCAGACACCAGGCACCAGACACTCCAACAGCCAACAGCCAAGAGCCGTGAGTAACACAGTGTTTACAGAGAGTTTCGTCTTTAATTAACTTTTGCAAGAGCGGGGCCAGCTTATCTTTGCGTAGCAGGGAGGGGCAGGTGCTTGCAAAAAAAAACAAAATAAAAAGAAATCAAAACCGAAGAAAGCCCCCCGCTCCGGAATCAGACTAGATAAGATTACTGCTGACTCACGGCAAACGGTTGTGCAAAACAACAAAGCAGCAAGTTCCGCAATAAGGTGGCCAAACTTCCAGGAAAACTACTTTTGTCCGAGGCCATCAACGCCGCCAAAAAGCTCTTGAGATTGGCACCTATCTTGGAAAGGAATCCAAGTCGGAGATACCTTTAACCAGAACTCGTTATCATTCGAATCATTTAAATCCCTCAACGGGGGTATTTTTCGGAGACTGAACTGTATTTCATGTATAGAGAGAGTATCTTGGATACTGAAAGTAGCTGAAGGTAATTAAAGTGCTGCTTTTGGTGATGAATCTAAGTTGGAGACTGAGCCAAAAGCCATCTCAAAGAAAGGACATTAAAGCTCTGCTGCTCAGTGGCACAAAAGCGTCGCCTGGATACGACACAGAATAATGCTGACAGCAATGGAAATACAAACAAATAATTAAACAAAAAGACTGGTGGGTAGTTGAACAGCCAAATGAATGGGCAAATATTCCGATAATTAAATTCGAAGCTAGCTCTCGCCATTTAAAGTTGGCAAATATGAAACTGTGAAAATGCTCGTATTACATTCCTTCGGGCAACAACATGGGCTACAACAGCAGATCAGTTTCAAGCTGGGGGAATTCCGCTTCATATTAATTAATTAATTACTGGTCTTATCTCTAGAATGCGGTACGAATGAGTAGCGTGGATGTGCTGAAAATCATCTAAAATTAGAAATGGAGATACATGTGTACAAAATTCTCAAAGAGATTGCAGTAGAAAATAATGGAAGTTGTAAAGCATCGCAGTGAAGGTACTAAATCGTAAACACACATGTATGTGTGTAGGTATTCGTTTTAAACTAATCAAACAATGAAACAATGAGCACAAATTAATGTTAGACCTCCCTTGGGGTACGAATGTGCTGTACCTTACATCGGAATTTGATCCCCTTCCCCTCAATAGTTTTCCCTGCAACACACACACAAATATGAAGCTCTGCCTGTGACCATTTACATTGCCCGAAAGCCAGTTTCCATCTGTGGGAATTACGCTTGATTTTAATTAAGTACCAGTCTTATCCGTGGCACGGATGTGGTGAAGAATAACTCACAGAGTGCACCACAATCAGCAGCATTTACACTTTCATTTACACAGCGCCTGGGGGGGCGTGTCAGAGTGGCGGGAAAGCCCCGGCATGCTCATCCTTATCGCCCAATGCCTGACACTGCGCTGGTCTCCTCCGGTCTGGTTTGGCTGCATATTTATTGCGAATTACAAAACCCCCGAGTCACTTGCTTTGGAATAAAACCTCATTACTTGCAGCAGTCCTGCTCTGTCGAACTGATAAGGGTGGACAGGGAGCAGGCGCCGAGTGCCGGGTGCCGGCATCCAGATCAGACATATTTGTCACTTATGAAAGGGATAATTTGCCACGCTTTCCAAGGATAGCAACAACAACAACAAAAAAAAACGTCACAATACCAGGCAAAGTCATTGCTATAGCTGTGGAAACGGCAACGAGATGATGGGGTGGGGGAGTGAGGGGGGAACAAAGGAACTGTGGCAGGATTGTAGTATGCCTGGGGGAATGTCGGGGGAGACATCGCCATTATCCGATTGCAGCCAGTCCGACATCATTGTGGGGTCTGTGCTGGCATTTTATGCAGAACTTGTTAATCACATTTTATTGACACATTCGCAGGGCGGATGACGGCTGCAGCAGCGGCAGGCAGCGGCAGGCAGCAGTCAGGACTCGGGGGAATCGATTTCCATTTTTAAATTGGCCAAATTAAGGGCTGCTTTTCCGTGTCGTGTCCACCCGCCACTCTGCCCCCGCCAGACATTGACTGTTACATGCGCCCCGCTTGATAAGCAATTTGTTGTAGCAGGGATTGCCAGGCACCCAAAAGCCAACCGCCCCCCCACCCACACACACATGCACTCCCAAGCCAAAGATTCGACAATTGCCAAATTTAAAAGCAATAAACGTACAGAGAGCAAATTTCTGGGTTTGTGCCACGTTCTTGTGCTCCCCGTTCTCAGTTCCCGCTACCATTTGCCGCTTTTAACTGCTTGACAGGGGGGTCGACAACGACCCAGAGCGGGGGGGCGGACGCGTGTCGTTGGTATTTGTTGGCTGGTTTCACCCTCTGGGATGTCTGGGATTCCATCGCTCCATCCATCGCAAGCTGCCACTGCCATTCAAAACGGGGCTTCCCTTTCATTTGCGCTTTCAATGCCAATCGGTTGCACGGCATCCTCCCCCGGGCGGCAGAGGCACGGGCTCAAGCTGCGCTCTGGTAAAATGTCAAGTGCGGAATGTGCACTTTTGACAGTTTCAGTTCATTCGCCAGTCAGCCTGCTGCACCCCTGCTCCTGCTCTCCTGCTCTCGGGCTAACCCTAAACATCCCCTCCACACACACACACACACATGGCAACCCTGACACGTACCCCTAATAAAACTTTCTCGTCGAAACGAAAGAACAAAGTCAAATATTACAAGCAAAAAAAAAACAAAGTGTACAAGTGAAAAGGCAGCAATGGGTTCTATTTTATTTTATTTTATTTTATTTTATACTCGTATTTCATGTTTTGAATGCGCACTTTGTGCCCCATTCTGCCCCACTACCCACATCTCGTTGTGTCAGTTCAGTTGCTATGCTAAACAATGGGCAGCCGAAATAACAGTACAAATATTCTAATGGACCTGCAATTTCTGAGCGTATACTGAGCATCACCTCAAAAGGAATCTCTGGAATTTCCCATTCAGGTCATTTGTATTTGGACGCAGAAATAAGAACCAATTAAAAGCTTCCGAAATTCTGTGTAAATCAATACAAATTCTGTCTAAAATTTGATTTTAAATGATTGATTTTCACATTTTCCATTGAACAAAAATGCCATAGATACATTTTATTTGACCCAAATTGTGGGGTTTTAACGCCTTCCTTCAGTCGCCTCGCATTCAATTAGTTAGAAATGTCACACTTTAAGGTTCACTTACTACAATCCTTGTTGCACTGCACCTTTAACATGTTCAAATTTGATAGAAAATGTATGCAGATAAAATCATTTAAAGTAGAAGATAAATAACAGTTTAAATATTCAATGAATCGGCAACAAATTTGATAATTAAATTTGATTTAATAATTTTGCAAATATAAAAATGTAATTGTATTAAATCAAGCTGCATTTTTGAGTTAATTAACTGAAATGTGTTCACATATACTCATTTTTGTTGTTTGTAAAAATATCCCACCGGATTGTGGGGGGTTTGGGGGTTCCACTTGTAATATAAAAGAAATGTAACTTATCAAGATCAAGGATTGGAGTATCGCAAAAGAGTCGCAAAATGGGTACAGTGGCGATGTCATCGCGTTAAATGGTGCAGTTTGTCGGCAACTTGAAAGAAAGAGAGAGCAGGTGGGCAGGTGAGCAGCTGTACAGAGTGGGAGGGAAGGAAACTGTCGTGTGTGTGTCATTTACGATATGCAAAACAGTTTCCAGCAACGGGACAAAATCAGGGGGAGTTTAACTGTTGGAAATACCTAACCGAATGCCCCACTGCAATCGTTAATGAATTCTCCAAGCGACACAAGTAAGAACGAATTTAAGGCACAAAGAAAGTCGAACATATCAGTACCCTATATGCCTGGCCGCAGTATGATTTTAAATCTTAACTTGAGCTCTTTGCACAGATGATACTAAACTTTTTCGAGTGCTTCCAATGCAAAAGTAAAAGTAAGAACAAGTAAGCAAGGAATATCCTTTGTGGAAAACTACAGGTACATTCTAAATCCTACATCCTCCTTCTCTAAGCTTGTGCACCCTCCAGCAAGAGTATAAAACGGAGAGAAAAGGAAGGCAAGGCTGAAGGAAACGGGCCAACAATAGCGACCCAAAGCACAGGGCGCGTTAAAATTGTTTGCCCATTCCATTCCCCTTTTTTTGTTGCTGCTTTTGCTGCTTTTACTGCTTCGCTCTGTGTTCCCTCTAATGTTGATATTTCTCTTGTTTTTGTGTTTGTTGTTGTTGATATTGTTCTTGCTTTTGTTGTTAATTGCTGACTTAATGGCGCTTTAATTAAATCGCAACACTGCAGGCGACCTACGATCCGCTCCTGTTTGGGGTTGGGATGCGAATGGGGCTGGCTGTTGGGATACAGGCACATGGCGACTTCCGGTTAGTCACTACCCAACTGGAGGGGGTGGGGGGGGCAGGTCCCACCTCCATTGCCACTTGATTTGTGACCCTTTGTCAGCAGTAAACAGTTGAAAGTTGTTAACTGTTGTTGCCATTTTATCAATACCCCGACCACGCCACACAAATTATTCAGCCAAATGGCCAAAACAGCTGCAGTCTGGTTCTCCGCCTGATAAGTTTCCTTTTTTTTTTTTTTTTTGGTATTTGTCATACCCTGCAGTCGTATGTAGTGAACAAGGGTATGTTGTGTTTGTACAAATCCCCCCCGAGAATCAAGAAAATATTCCAAATCGGAAGTCTGTTTTGGCCTGGAGTCGCCATTTCTTTTCGTCTGACTGGAAGAGAGTTTCTTCGATCAGAGTGAAAGAACCCCAGTAGGGGGCATCTACACAGCTATTCAAGAACTAGCTCTGTTATGTTCTGTTGTTGTGGTGCAGACAAAACTTTAGATTTGATTGGGGCTGTGCCACCCACCCCCACCTCCTGTGAGTGTTTAATTGTTGGTTTTGCTATCAAGTCTATCAAGTTGAGTTATTTGCAGCAGGAACAACAGGGCCTGCTGCAATTGTTGCTCTCGTGCAGCGTGGTGTAAAATTTTAATTAATGCAACTTCGGCATACCACCAGCAAACAGAAACAGGATAACCCACAGGATCAGCAGCAGAAACTCAGCCACATCCGCAGAGCGTTTTTCTGTAGCCACTATCATCCTACCATCATCATCCTGTAACTGCAATTGAGTTCCCTGTCAATTTGATGAACTTTCCAATCCAATTTCCAGTTGCCAGTCGCCAGTCTACAATTTGGACTGGCGGGGTTTCCCTGCTACGCTGGGGAAATGTTTTTCCCATAATATTTACGTTTAATCAAATGGAAAATCCATTGCGATAACTGCAAACTGTAATAACAATCCAGTCGGCACCGGGAATCAGTGCTTGTGGGCCGAACGGAAGGAACGGAACCCAGTAAACATAATCGCACTATTTTTTTTTTTTTTGGAGCTGCTCTCATTCGTTGGGATTCTATTTATTTTGTGGTTTCGAGTTCTGTGGTTTACAGAAATACTCGTATATACGCCGCTATAGTATAATATATCCCCGTCCACGCGGGTGTGTGGGGGACTTATGTTGTACGTCATTTTAATTAAACGTGGTAAAAAACGCATCAGCAGCGACAGCGGCAGCGACAGCACATAATATATCCCAGATATAAATCCAATATGTCCGCGATACCGCAATTTGTTTAACATTCCATGCATACGCGGACTGCATACACAATTAAACCGATTGAGCACTGGGGGGAACCCGGAGGAGAAGCATAGCAGGGGAAGCAGGGTGGGGGTAGGGGTAGTTGGGAAAACGAAATCCTCAGCTGGGGAAGCATCCGGATAAACTGTGGATTATTTGTAATCTAACGGTTCGATCCTTGCCACTAAATTCGTTTGATATGTTTACTCATATTTAATTGATTTTGCGATGGGATTTCGATGGGACGTCCGTCTCTCGGTAGGGCTGACGAAACTTGCCGCAAATCATCAGAATTCATAAATAATAAAGTCACATAAATGTTTTAAAATCGCTTGTGCATATTTCATGACCAACTCTGCTCCCTGGCCCTGCCAATTAAATGCTAAATAGATTAAAATTCCAAACTGCTGCGATAAGCCCAATCAGGAATTTTGATTTATGCCTGCCAAAACAGGATTATTCACCCCCGCACTGTGCCACACTGTCCAAATATCAGTAAATGGTAAATATTAAATTAAGGCTGCCGATACCAAAGGACAGGGAATTCAAATCAAATTGTTTTCATTTATTCTACACGAGAGAGCTGTAAAAATTTGGCGAAATTACTTACGTATCTCCAGAGGTTCCACGACACGGAAGAGCAGTTTCAAACCATGCTGCAGAGTGTAACTGATTTGCTCGCTGCAGCTGGGGCTCTCATTAATCGGGGCCGCTTATCAATGCACTTTGCCACAAATCGATCTGGCAGACACTCGCAATGCGCGAACTAATTGCTCATTAATTACCACACATGACTTCCGAATCAATCAGAATCGGTATAATTACACACATAATCCTATGCACAATGGCCTCACACTCCTCCCAGCTCCTACCCTGAAGACCACCCCCTAGGGGGCAATCCCCAGCCCCAGGTGGGGTCACCTCTTGGGGTCCTGGGCACACTTCCTCTACGGTGCCTGTGCTGTCGGGATATATGTACATATGTATGAACAGGCACGCAGTGCCAACGATGTTGTTCCACGACAAACTTCCTCCCGGATTTTCCCATTTATTCTGTTTTGTTTTCAGATTGCGTTTTTTGCCCGCTCACAGAGCAAACATATAACGCAGCTTTTGCTGTCCCTGCCCCCTGCTTGGGGCTGCCACTCATGCTCTGTGTCGTTAGTCGTTATGAGAAAGGGCGGAAAAAGCGTATGGTCCAGTGACAGCTTTGAGGACGCAGGCAAAAAAAATTGACGGCCCTTGGTACTCGCGGAATGCAAAGGTGCGTATTTAATCGGTGTATGCTTTGGACAGGCACGTTGAGAAGATTATAGTGGGTATTGCCAAGTCGAGACAGTCGATCTCAGTCCTTCATAATTAGAGCGGGGCGCAAAAGAGACTCGGGGGGTCCACCGCGGATGACCCAAGGAGAGCGGGTGGCCAGACATACGCATCTCTCAGTTTTTGACACGCACGGCAAACATGTTTGTCCAAACGAAAGAATGGCGGCCCTGCCGGCGATGGCCGTGAACGTCTCGTGGGCCCAAGGGCCACATCTTCGAGGGCAGCGAGCATTTATCTGGCTTTCATCGAATAGAGAAGCCAATTAACCCGTTACGGGTACCAGGAAAATAAAGTATAATGATCCCCCTACTTAAGACACTCGATAATGTTTGTGGATCAGTAATATAACACTCTAGATCCTGGATCTTATACTGATCTCTTTGCAGTCTCTCTAGATCGAGCTCTGGGATAGGAAGAGCACTGAGTACTTTGGTTTGGTTCTTGATGCCATGAAATATCGACAGGAGCACAACATCATCCGTGCCTGCACGATCCACATGCAGACAGAGAAGACCAAGACGATAGTGATTCGTGAATGGAGCGATTGCGACATTGTAGCTCAGTGCTTTGTCTTTCTCTTAGCCGGCTTTGAGACGTGCGCGTTGCGTATGTGCTTCACAGCCCAAGAGATGATGAAGTACGAGGATGTCCAGCAGAAGCTCTACGAGGGGGTGCAGCAGGTGGACATCGATTCGGATGGCAAAGAATTGACATACGAGGCCATCATGGGCACGAAGTACTTGGATCAGGTTGTCTCGGAGGTATAACGTTTCAGCGTTCACATACTATCACTTTGGCCTTGGTCTACTGCATTGGCGAGTGGGAACAGAGTCCCATTATTTGTACATTTTAGGTTCCCGCTTTGCACTGCTCGAGGCCAACGCTGTCATCTACCATCTGTTGAATTAGCATCGCTTCGCCCTGCCAAGAAATCGTGCATTCCCTTGGAGCTAGCCAGCAATGGGTTCCAGTTGACGCAGCCCACGCAATTAATTTCTTTACCAATGCTTATTATAACTACTAAACATTTGTCTAAAAGTATGCATCTTTTTTTTATTATTTGTTTTGCCAACTGTGGAGTAGTGCCTCCAAGTTTTCGTGGGCTTTGGGATAGGTATTCACCAGGCGCGTTTTTCCTTCAGTAAGAGCTAAGACTTATAAACAAAACATAATACTTAATAGAATAATACTTCTTAATAACGATTTGGATGCAGAGCACGGCGAGTGCCAAGCGGCAGAGGAGGGATATGACTCCAACCAGAGGACATTCTGGCCAGCCTGGGATCGGCGCCTGAGCTGCAGAAAGCCATCATCGACCTCAGGGTGTCCCCGCGGGGAAGATCTAGGACGTCAACTGGCTGAAAGCAGAATCGGAGATCCCGACCGCCACGAAGGATGCCGTTGTACGCGCAGACAGCCCGTCTGTCCCCAAGCGCCAGTTCGCAGCTGAAACCTGAAAGTCTGAAAGTCTGAAAGTGCCCATACAAACCATCATTTCCTTAATGTAACTCAGAGATTGCTGCGTTGGCAGTTTTCGTTTATGATTCAAAAGGAACATTTATTTATTTACTTAGTTCTTTGTTTTTCGCTCATCGCTTTCGCTTTCCCTTTCGCTTTACTTTACTTAACTTGCTCTCGTTTCACAAAAATTGAATTTCTGTATCTTTCAGTTGCCGTTTGGCTCAGCGCTTTTCGTTATGCGTTCTGGCCACTGCAGTGGTGCCACACCCATCCAAGCATCCATCCATCCACTCCCATCATCATACGTATACGCATGGCATCTTCGGATGGAGCAGATTGAAGGGGATGTGGGGATGAGGATGGGGGCTGCAGCTGTGGGCAGCTGTGGGCTTTGTGTGGTGTCTAAGTGTCGTTTGTTTTAGCAAATATTTTTGTGAATACGCTTAAGTCTGGTATTTGCTTTCGGTTTTGCTTTTTCACATACAATCATACGGTATAGAGTATATCTAAAGTTAGACAGATACGGAGATACATTTATATAAAGAGTTAAGGAGTGAGACATAGAGTGAATGACAATTTGTTATCCCTTGGGGGCAACACATGTAAATGAGTTTCCCAGAGTGACTGTGTCTGTGTATCTGTATCTGTATATGTGTGTGTTTATCTGTGTGTGTGTATCGGGGTTGTGTATTTGTGTAAAGTGTTTGGTTTGGGTCATACACGTTTGCTTTTGCTTTTGCTGTTTCTGTATTTTATGTTTTCCTACTTCATCTTCATTTTCATTTCCATCTTCTTAGGCTTCTTCTCCTTTCCACTTCCATTTCCACTTCCATTCGTTTTGCTTTTAATAGCGTTTACAGTTAGTTTTCAATTAGACGACAAAATAGACGTTTAAAGATATAGACACACACCATACACATGCATACATACACACATACGTATATATGTATGTATGTATGTCTGTATATTTGATAAACATGAAACACATTCAGTTATTTATAGTAGTTGGCAGCTCCTCTATCTCCTCTCCTCTCCAATCCCCTTCTCTCCTTTCCACTACCCGTGAAGAATTCTGAGATGATTTAAGAGTGCACTGTCTTCTCCCCTCTCCCTCTGCCTATTATCTATATAAAATTTGTTTGCTTTTGTAGGATATCTATGTACGTACATATCTGTATCTGTACGATGTGTGCGTGTAACTGTGAGGAGGATGTTCGAGTGGAGGGGGGTGAGCGGGATACACATACAGTCTGTATGGGGTGTGGTGGAGTGTGTGTGTGGGTGTGTGTATATTATTCGTAAATGGAGAGATAGTAGTGCCGTTTTGGTAATTGCCTTAGTAACATTTTTCGTTATCATTTTGAAGTGCGTAGCTTAAGAATAAACCATATAGAGAGCTTAAATAACTACTCGTAGACGAATAAGCAGCTGCCTTTGGTTTTGGTTTGGTTTGGTTTGGGATTTATTTGCTATTTCTTCCTTAGTTATTTTGTGGTGTGGCGCTTGCGACTGCACCATCTTATGACATTGAACATTTAAACTATGTTTATGCGGAGCCCTTAGTTATGGCTGTGTTTTTACTAGGAATAGCCCTGCCATGTGGCAGGGCCTGGGGGCTGGCGGGCAACTTTTAGCTGCCTTTTTTTTTCTTGGCTAACAAAATGGCAAATTAATATACGTACGTAACTCTAGGAGAAAAACAGAAATAGAAACAGAAACAATTCCTGACAAATTCAACTAAAATGCATAACCTAACAACAAGGAAATCCTAAGCCAAGGAGCTCGGATCCAAGCCCGGGAATTAATTGATCAAATCCCCTCCCCGCCTGGGAACGGAGATCAAGTCCTCCTTCTGGCTGGAGACATTACGTAAATTAATTCGACAACGAAACGATTGCGACAAGAGCTATTTAAATGAAACAAGTGCGATATCGGCTGAGCGGTGAAAAAGTGAGGTGTACATATGTGAATATGTATGTATGTATGATGTATGATGTATATGAAGTGTGGTGCGATTCTCTGTGTGTGTGTGCGTGTGCTTGTGCTATAATTGTTGGGCCATCGCAATGGTCCACACCCCCTGACGCTGACGCTGACGCTGAGGCTGACGCTGAGGCTAAGCCCATTGCGATCCACTTAACAGTTGCTCTTGTGCTCTTTCACCTGATTTCTGGTACTGTTTTGAACTTCCCTTTTCCGGTACAATACATCATATACTCAATAGCCATAATAATAATCAAGGTAAATAAATATATCGCATTGTAACAATTGAGGACAACATTTGAGAACAAAAGATTCTGTATTCTGTTGCCATCTCTCTCTTTATCTACCTCTATCTATCTATCTCTTGCTGTACTCTCTAATCTGCTCTGCTCTCTATTTCAAGGACGTTTTCTTATATTACACATTCAATAAAATATGCACATCAATAATTCACATTCATTTATCATATCATTTATCATATATCATTTATCGTTATTCGTTTTTGTTTATTTGTTGTCTGTCTGCCTGTCTGTTCTGTCTGTCTGTCTGCCTGTCTGTGTGTGTTATTCTTGAAGCTATTCAACTTCTAGCTACTTAAATGCCTCATATCTTACGCCTCTTATCTTACCCCCAATACATACACCTGCAGCTATTGGCTTAGCATTCTTTCGGGCTGATGGCAACGAATTGTGGATTTGATTTCCACAAAAAGTCTCCTGTTTGTGTGCATGCGTGTGTGTATCTGTGTGTGTTGTATCTGCTGCTTACGTATCTGAAGTTAGCTGGCTTCTGTTTTAATTGGTTTCTGTGCCCGAACTCTAACAGGTAAATTCACATTTAATCTCACATTTAAAATGTAAAAGTTTTCAATTATTTTAACTTAGGTTTCAGCCCCGGGCCCACTTGAACCCCCACCTATATGACCCTATGACCAGGCATCAGTCCCGGGCTATTGCTCGGCTTTTGGATTCAGATTCAGATTGAGATTTAGATGTACATGCCCAGGTCCGCATGGAAGTCCTGCAGATATGAGAGCAGCTGTGAGGGCGTGGGCCGCTGCTTTGCCTCGCAGTGCCAGCAGCAGTTCATAACGGTAAAGCTAAGGGCGGGAGGGCGATTAGGGCATGAGCAGGGGGCGCGCACACACAATACGGATCGAGTTACTCACAATTCATCGGGGCAGTTGACGGGCTGCTCCAGCCGGTAGCCGGCAGCCAAGTAATTGGTAAGCTCGAATATGTCCACCTCCTCGTGCGGCATCTGGGCGAGGGTGACCAGCTCCCAGTAGAGCACGCCCAGGGCCCAGACGTCGCCCTGCGACCCGTACACCTTCTTCTGCAGCGCCTCCAGCGAGAGCCACTTCAGGGGCCGGTTCTCGTTGTCGCCCAGGCAGTCGTAGTCGTCCGGGAAGAGGTCCCGTGACAGGGCGCCATCGCAGATCTTCACGTACGCCTCCTCATCCACACTGAAACGAGCAAGAGTTCGGCGGAGGGGTGGGGGGTTAGGGGGAGTGTGAAGCAGGGAGCACAGATGCTGGGGTGGGAGGCTCCCGTCAACTTACTAGCAATTGCGTGTGGCAATATCCCGGTGGACGATCCCCAGTGAGTGCAGATAGGCCAATCCCTTGGTGATGTGCAGCCCGAACTCCACCAGCTGACGGGTGCTCAGGGCTGAGCTGGACTCCCGCGACTGTTGCAAGTACCTTTGGAGGGGGAACAAGGAGGATACATGCGGAATTCTGTGGCACGAATCCGTCCGCCATACTCACATCTTTAGGTTCCCCTTGGACGGATAGGGATAGGCGATCTCTGGCGGGCCGGGCAGCTCGGTGTTGGCCAGGAGCGGGGCCAGGATGTGCTGGTGGCTGACTCCGATCAGCAGCGAGGCATCTTGCAGCAGGCAGGCCACCTGTGTGAGCGAGGCCCCATCGATGACAGTCTTCACCAGAGCGTCGCAGGAGTCGCCCAGCTTGCCGGCGTAGATGCGGCCGAAGGTGCCCTCCCTGACCAGATGCTCGTAGGTGAGGGCCCCCGGCTGGACACTCGGAATGCGGCGCAGTCGATCCTTGGTCTTCTCGCCGTGACTGGCCATGGTGATGGTGCTGCCCCCGTTGATGAAGCCCCCAAAGAGACTGCCACTGCCACCGATGCCACGGCTGCTCTTTGGCGTGGACATGCTGCAGGGCTGCTGGTGCAGAGGGAGAAAGAGAGAAAGAGAAAGAGAGAGGAATTAGGATATTCACTGGGAACATATTTAGCCCCTGGGGAGGCCTCTGCCCCAGTAGATCCTAAAGAGATAAGGATTAGTAGCTGCCTGAGACGGAAGCGCATATTGGCATATTCCGAATTGCAATTACAGGACTTCAATGGTCCCGAAAGGGCCCATTCCGCCCCGGGCAGGGGTCGGGGTGGAAGAATAGTTGATGTCTGCCCGGGAAACTGCATAAATTTCCATATTTCCATGCCCAAGTCCAGCTCTGGGACCCGTTTAATTTGGCTCCAAGATTGGCAAAGCTTCGGCCCCAAAAGGCCGCCTGGAACAAAAGCCAAAGACATTGTAGGAGGCGATGGCTGGCAGTCGCAACAGCAACGGCAATTCCAGCTGCCGGATTTGCATCTTTCAGTTTGCATCCGTTTACCGTTAGTCATGCACTTGGCTGTGCTGTTTCCCCTACCCCCAACCCCCAACCCACGCTCCCAGCCCCTAGCTTCAGCGCTCATTCATTTTAATGAATTGAGTTCCGTTTCCGCTCCGAGGCACTTGGCCCGATGCCGCCCTGACACCACCGCCCACCCGCCCAAGACGTTCGTTGCCATAATTTTGTCTTACTCTCTGGCTCGTACCCTCCCTCGTACCCCCCCTCACTCCTACGCGCAGTTGTCTTACAGCATGAATAATTTATTGGCTGGCAAAAAAGCTTTAATTCGCAGAGCATTATGTTTGCATAGCCTCCAGGAGAGGCTCCACTGGAGCGGAGCGGAGAGGAGTGGAGCTCAGCTGTAGGAAATTGCGAGCTTGTCTTGTGCAAACAAAAGTCTGTGATGCTAGCAGCAGTCGGGCAGATTTCCTCCCATTTCCCCCTACCAGTCCCAGTCACAGTCCCACTCCCAGACCCATCTCGAACTTCCCTTCTTCCACTTGGCTTCCAGCCTACGCAGCACATTTATTTTCATATAAAACCCGAAAAACGAGCAGCTCTGTCTGGGCTAATAAACACAAGAGAAATCACTTAATTTCTCTCTCACGCGCTCAAATCTGCATAGCTGTGGCGGGGCTCAAGTGGGATCCTCTGGGATGCCAGGGCCACTAAATCTTCATCAGAGCAGCAGGAGCAGCAGCAGGTGGACGTCAACTGCCCGGGGACTTAAATTTTATTAAAACAAGCGCCAGCAATATGCGGGAATAATATTATTTGGCGCGGTCCGGCAGTGGCCAAATGGGAGCCACAGGTACAGGTACAGGAGCAGAAACAGAAGCAGAAGCAGGAGGCAGGAGGAACACCAGACAGGACGACAAGGACATTGCCGGCATTCCGGGATAGGGCCAGCAGCAAGCCGGTAACAATTGCAACAATAACCACGACGACAACAGCCACGACAAAAGGCAATAAAAACAATAGTTGGGTTGGCTGCCTTTTGTTAGTGAATTTCATTTCATGATTGCCGTCATTGCCACTTTCCCGAAGGGGGAAACTCCCCCTTTACCCTTGCCGTTCCCCCGTTCTTTCCCCCTCTCTGGCTTGTTTGTGATTTCTGCTGTTTGTCCTTTATTGTATTTGTCGCTGTTGCTTCTGGCCGGGGCTGTCTGTCTGTCCGTCTGTCCATCTGTCTGTCTGTCGCTTTCTTCACAAAGAAAATTCAATTAAAACGCAACAATATCGCACTCCATCATCAAAGCTCTTCGCTCCCCGCTCTCCGCTGTCCCGCTGTCCCCTTTGGCTCTGCTCCGTACTGAAGGCTTGGATATGGTCCTGTATGGTCGGGATCTGCATTGGTTCCAGTGGGGCGGCCCGGCTATAAATCCCCGTCGCTCAACATGCAAACTGGCTCCAAGCAGAGACACAGAAACAATTGTCTGCACCGGCGACGCTTTTATGCGCCCAGCTCCAAAGGCTTAGACCTTGGCCCTTGCCTGGGCCTGCCTGGGTGCGTTAATGAGGATCCGCAGAACTTTAATTAGAACTCAGTTAATCGGTTTAGCATTAAACACATCGCAATGGCGAATGGCGAATGGCGAATGGGTTCGGTTAATTGTTATTCGCTATCTCCTTTACCCGAGTGCATCAATTAATTGGGAAATAACAATTTAAGCAACATCCCATCCCCCAATCGCGGGTGCCGTGCACTTTATCAGAATTTCTCTTCAAACTGGCAATCCCCAAATTGCCAATGAAAATGTTCTGTGGAGAGCTCCGCTGGAGCTGGGGCCGGGGCCATAACATGACGCTGGGTCGGCATATTAAAAGCCAATGTCGAACGAGGAGACATTATTGCTCGACTTTTCATTCGAAATTGCCAAAGAGTCGAAATATCTGCCAATTGCTCGACTCCCAGTACACCCCCCAGTACACACTTTCGCATCACATCACAGATCGCATTGCCATTGCCATTGCCATTGTAATTGCCATGGATACGATGGAAGAGAGTTTCCTGCCTTTTTAGGACCGAATTTCAGTGGTGGAGTGGTCTTGAATGTGGTGCTGGTGTCCTGCACTGGGCGTCAAGGAGATGACAGGCGTGGAGGCAATGCCGAAGCTGATGCTGATGTTGGCTTGCAGCTGCTTTTGGCTCTGTTTTGACATTTCTAATGACAGCACCACATGGCTGCCCTGGGTGGTGGGTCTTGCCTGCTCATGACGTAAGCACAAACAACACACAACACACAACCCCTGCCCACCCCCACACACTCACACACACACAAACACATCAGTGCACAAACACGGGCCTGACAGGCGTCTGATTTGCTTATGTCACTTGCAGCTCTACGGCTGCCCGCAGGAACAACAAACATCTCCTGCTGCTACCCACACCCCACACCCCACCCATCTACCCATCCACCATTCCGCTCCTCCCTTAGCTTGTAATTAAAAACGCTTGATGACAATTTTGCCGGGGACTGCGCCACCAGTCTGACATCAGTGACGAGCAAAACCAAAATGCAGTAGAAAACTTTCTGGCAACAAACATTTTCGCACAGTGGCTGGGACGTGAATATAATGAAGTTTCGCCGGTGAAACTTTTCATTGGTGAACCTCTGCTTAGATTTAGTTTTGGGCCAGACAAAACTTGCGCCCAAGTTCCCAGCGGAATGCATGCAGAAATGCAGCAGAAATGCATCCAAAGCAGAAGAATAATATTTTATTTACATTAATGTATGGTGGATAGTTGATTGCTGGCCATGCTTTAGGCTTAAGTCTTTCGTGTTCGATTAATTCGGAATCGTTAGCTTGTGCTGGTTCCACTGTGCAGGCCCCCAAAATGCCTGTCAACTCGTCGCCGAATGAAACTATGCAAATTGCTGATGCTGATGCTGTTGCAAATTTTACCCTTCCATCCAACCCCTTCTGCTCCTTCCCTGGGCCGATGTGGCAGTGGGAGCGGGTTGAGAATATTACGCATACGACCTGTCGCCTTGGCATTAGTGCTGCAAGCAGGGGGCGGCGGCTGAATGAACCGGAGCCCAGTCAGGTGGAGCCAACATAGAGACCAGAACTGGCTCAATTATATTTCAATTTACCTGACAGCCAGCTTTCCCTGTGATTCCCCTGCCTCCTGCCTCCTGCCTCCTGCCTCTTCTCGGAAAAGCCTTTAATCAAGGCCTCAGCTCGAGTTTTTCCGGAAGTTTCCCTCTGCCAGAACTTCCATTATTTCACAATTTCGAGGCCGATGCTGCCGGGCCGAACTGTGTGCGCCTTCTAATTTTCCGAGGGAAACTAATTTGAATTTCGTTTGATTTATGCCTGATCGATTGGGCCTGCCCTCCCTCCCTCCCTCCATTCCCCTTTGATGCATGGCATTTTGATGAGGCGATTCAGCCTCGTTAGCCCCGCCATTTAATAAGCGTTTCGGGTCGCAACACAAAAAGGTTCTCTCGCTTAATGCATAATTGAAAAGCGGCAAACCGGCTTGTGGAAAGTGCGGTGGGGCGAGGCGGGGCGGGGCGGGTCGGGCATATCTACTCTTAATTAAAGGTGGCATATACTTAACCCGAGTCGTCGCCTACTTGTACACGCACTTAATCACGCGTAATTGCCTTTCAATTAGACATCGCGTGTCCCGGCCATGCCCACAGTCCACAGACCCCGCCCCCCACCGCCAGGCAGCATTTTACAGTATACATTTACGAGAATGCCCTACAGATTTCTGCTTGTTGACTCCACAAATTAAATCAATTGGCAGTTGCAAACAGCAGTTCGATGACCATGGGGCCCATCAGGCCAACCAGCGCGAAAATATTATCGGAAAGCTGTCAATTAAATCCAAGGGCAGGGCATTTGTCGGTGGTTAATGGACAAATCTTGTTCCCTAGCTCTGAACGAACTATTTCCATGTAGCTCTGTCGCCTAAGCAGGGATCTGGATTCACTGAATACGTGTAGACGCTGCATCCAGGGCACAGGGGAAATCACTGCGGCCGGCGGTGGCAACAAAAGAAACATCCGCCACTCGGTCAACGGCTTCCGGTTGGGTTGCCTCCCCTGAGGCTGACAGGAAGCAATCAATAGTGTAATGCCAGACAAAAGCATCCGCCGCAGTTTGCCCCGGGGGATAAATGATGGTGGATCAGACCTGGAGGTGCAGCAAAAAAAACTGTGGAAAAATATGCACCGACTGGTCGGGCAATTTGTCAACCTTTGGCGACGGCTCGGCTTTTGTTGAACGGCTTAACCCGTTGGAGTGGCCACCCAGTGCCCGTTCACATACCACGACACCCATTAACTGTCCATCCTTGGGCCTCGTCCTTTGCATTTCCATGAAGCTTTTGTCGCAAGTGTAAATAATGCCTTTTAATCAAAAAGAACAACTGTGGGGGATATCCATTAAAAGAGTACGTGTCTCCAAATCGGGGACTGGGGCTGGCCCCACCCTGTCCCCCCTCTGGTGCTTGACTTTGCCCCATGCGGCGCGTGTCGTTTGCTGCTTTAATTACAAATTTCTTTAATGAGGAAACGACAAGATTTAAAATTAGCACCTGCTCCTGCTCATCCCCCATTCCCATCCTCCCGCTGCCATTCAGTAATATCCATAAAACATCGCGACATGCTCCGCGCTCCGAGCTCCGAGCTCCATGGGAATTAATTTCCAACTTTCCTTTGCGCTTTTCTTCTTCACCTATTCTCATCTCTCTCCCTTTTTGCTTGTCATTCAAGTGGCGCTTTGTCCTCGGCTCCTCCTTAACCCCTTTCTATTCTCAGACATTCGGCTCTCTCTCGCTCTCTCTCTCGTGCTCTTTGCTCTGTTTCCCATAGCAGAGGAAGCATCTTGGTGGCCGCTCTTCCGATCCAATATCCTAATGCCACTCTGGCTGCTGAGCCTCCTCCTACGTATCCACCCGCCCGTGATCTCTTTCTTTTGTTGGTGGCGCTGCAATAATATTTTGCAAGTGTTTCCAAACAAGCACAAAGCCATGTTGCCACAGCTGTCCGTAGGCGGAGTCTGGTTCTGTGTTCTGGGTTCTGGTTTCTGCCGTTTCGCAGCCGTTTTTATTGTTATGTTCCGCTACTTTTGCTGCCCTCCTTCCCTCCCCGTTTGCTAAACTTTGGCTGCACATTAAAGCAATTTGGCCAACATTTATAGACTGATTTAATAGAATCTAAGGGAGTGGTGTGGCTCGCCATGTGGCTGCGAGGGGTTGCCAGCCCCAATCGCTCCACACCCAAATGAGATATTTCCACACAAGTGAACAGAGCAGAGCATCTGTGTGTGTGTGTGTGTGTGTGTGTGTGTGCACTTGGATATAATTGTTTGACTAAATGAGTGGGCCCCACCCCCACGCCGCTCAGAATTGCTAAGCCCCCAAACGCTGTGCTACACTTCGCTTAACACTCACACATATGTAGAGGGTGGAGTGGAGCAGAGTGTGGAGTGGGGAGAGGGGAGGCCACTCAATGGGGAACACAACAACAATAATTATGGAGAGCATCCTCAGACTCCAGGCACATCTCCACATCCGTTGCACGCACGCAACCCAATCCCAATCTCCACTATTCGGTGGTGCAGAGGACGCAGACTGGGTAAGGGAATTCATTTAATTTCTCAACTTTGCTGCGTTCATGTGCATCCCTCAGCTATACTCCTGTCTGAGGATATGTTTGGTATATTTGTGCCTGTAAAATGTGTTCTATGAGTAGACAACTTAGTGCCAGTTGGTGCCGGGGCTTACAAGCCCTTGTTGTACCACACGGTGTCTAGGTCGGGTCGTTTCTTCTGAATATTTTCGCGCACCTTCGTCTCCAGGCTTGCCACCTTGATGGCCGCCCGCTGGCGGAAGCACGCGCAGCCCAGGGGCGTCGCAAAGATCAGCACGAAGCCGCAGAACAGCGTCTGGATGGGAGCATTCCAGTTGGGGTATTTGGATAGGAAGCCCCGCTTCTCGAGCACATTCATGAGCACCGGAGTCATGGTCATGCCCGGAATGGCCATGCTGATTCGACTCAGAATGACAGCCGAGATGCCGAGACAAGCGGCCTTCCGGGACACGCCCACTTCCGTGTTCTTCTCGTCCAGCAGGACGACTCCGTTGCGAATCTCCTGCATGCGCATGCAGGGAATATTTATGCAGTTGCCGGCAGCCACCGCCACGAGTGGCACCAGACGACCCACCAGTGGACTCATCTTCTTCACGGCCCGATTGAGAGAGAGCGCCGTGGCCAGGGCTCCGCTGGTGGCCAGGCAGTAGGAGGTCAGCAGCTGTGGCTTGCTGACGGGCGAGGCGCCCGACCGATTTGTGTAGTTGACGATGGCGTTGAATGTCTGATTGAACCACTGCCAGAAGACGACGGCACGGGTGGTCTTGTAGAACGCCATCATGCCGCCAGTGATGAACGTGTTCATCGGCATTTGGGCCGACATGCGGCCAATGATGATCTGCTTCTCGCCCGTCTCCGGATGGTAGGCCGAATCGTACAGGTACTTGGCTCTCCACACATCCTCGATCGTCTCGCACTCGGGCACCTCCTTGCCGGCCCTGTACTTCAGCACAATCTGGCGGGCCGCCTCCAGCTTCTTGTTGCTGGCGAGCACATTGAGCGGATTGGTGACCAGAAAGAAGTGCTTGGCCCTGCCCACAAACGTACTCTGGTCGAACTTGGGCTGATCAATATCCACACGGGGCAGTGGGGCCATTTTCGAGGCGATTCCTCGAATTTACGTCAAGTTGAGAGGCTACGTGGATACGACTCTAGAATTTTGTTAGTCTGGTCGGAAGCGAAGCTTGTGCCCCAACTGGACCCAGCTGAACCAGCAATCACTGGCTGATTTGCCTTGAATTTATTTGTCAGCTGTCACTGTGGCATGGCCCACTGCCCTCACACCCCCTACTTGGAGCACCTACTGGGAGCACCTACTTGGAGCAGAGCTGTGCCCATAATGGCTATGAAATTGAAGTCTAAACAAACAGAAATCGTTGAGCAAACACAATCCCGAGCAGAAGGAAGACCCTGAGAAGTCTCCATGGAAATTGAATATTTAATTATGCGTCGATGGAAATGGCGTCGGAACTTGGTGACGAAAATGGGCCCCAGACGGCATGGGGATAATGAGAGGGAGGAGAGCAGGATGTTGGGATACGAGGGTAGAGGGGGGAAAAGAAAAGTCACAGTCGCAGCTGGAAAAGTCTGAGGAATGTTTACAAGGACAACAAATGCGAGAGGCTGCCAGATAATTTATTCTAATTTCTGGGAGATTTTCCCACAACCAAAAAGTTAGCTTTCCCGAAAGAAATACGAGGCGGGGAGTAGGGAAAGGGAGGGCTGGGTGGATACTTCCCAGTTCATTTTGGGGGGAAACTAAGGGATTTATGGGGGAGATAAGTTGGCTGTTTGGGGTTAGTACGGATCCACTCTGCTTCATCGCTTGAGGGAAAGGAGGGGCCCGGGCCCGGGATGCTAGTCGCTCGATTTGAAACAAAAGCAAAGACACAGGGAAGCGGCAGACTGTCTGCGGCTGCCTGCATGGGGCACCTTTCGCTTATCTAAACAGTCGCCCCCACTCCACTCACCCACACGGGAGCCCTCCCATCGCATCCTTCGCCTCTCCGGGCACTGGGTTTGTGTGTCGCCTGCGCCCACCTTCCACATGAGGCATGCACGGGTACGTGAGTGCCGCACAGAACTTGCCCCACCCCAGCCAAAGGAGAGGCAGAGAGCCAGCAGTCAGACATCCTTGAGGGGGGAGGAGGAGGAGGCAGGGACAGCCGCATATTTATGAATGGAGTGGAATGGAATGGCCGGGCTCTTGTTTCGAGTTAACGCACTACGGGAGCTTTATCAGCTCGTAAATATAAATTAGAATTTAATTTTTATCGTCGAGGAAAGGTGGCTGAAGCAGAGCAAGGAGGGGGTGGCCTGGGGAGCAATCGTGTGGTGCTTGGGGCAAATTAGTGGAGTGGAGTGGAGGTGAGCCATGGCAACCCCGAAAGGAGACTCGACTCGGCTTCAACAGGATTCATTTCCATCTCCATTTGGCTGCCACGTGCCGCAATATTTCAAAGGCTTTGATTTACCCGAGGGCAGCTCCCAGCTCCCAGTTGCAGCTCCCAGTTCCAACCATTTCCAATCCCAATCAACCCCCTTGGGGCAGCTTATGGGGAGGGGGATGGGAGATGGGAGATAGTTCTCTATCGGCACTCACCTGGGTCAGCTGCGAGGAGGCGTAGTAGGATATCCTCGAGGGACAGATCGACTCTGGCTTCGAGTAGATTGTTTCTCCGGTCTGCGTCTGGTCCTGGTCCCTGTCCCTGTCCCCCATCGGGAGCAGTGCGGTGGCGTAGGGTGTGGGGATGGGGGAGCTGCGGAAACCTGTAGAGTGGATGCGTGTGGTCAGTGAGGATTGGCGGAGGGTGGAGGGAGGGGCTGTGGGCTGTGGGCTGGGGTAACTCACGGTCGAATATGCTGCACGACTTCTTCGTCTCCCCGGGGTATTTGTTGAGGCTGGCGATGGTCGCGTACGAGCCGGTGGCACTCGGTGGCCGTCCGAGCGGGTCGAGGCGGATGAACACGTTCTGGTGGCTGCCATAGGCCGCGGTGGTGAAGCTTGTACTGCGGGAGGGGAAGAGCAGAAGCAGAAGCAGGGGCGGGAACAGGTGTTAATGGGCGGTGGAATGGCAACGGAGGGAGGATAACTTACTGCAGCGAGTCCTGGCGGAGCTGCTTGCGAGCCCGCAAATACATCATGCTGGCCACGAGGCCCACGGCCAGGACCAGGCCGAGAGCACAGGCTGCGGCACTCAGCAGGGCGGGTCCCTGGGAGGGGGCATGGGCGGGGGCCGGCGACTGGTTCGGTTCGGGTGAGATGCCTGTTGATTGGAGCAGATGGATGGTGATGGATGATCCACTGGAGTGGCTGGGAGTGGGACTGGGAGTGGGAGTGGGAGCACCTACCCTTGGCACAGATCTTGTTGCGCTTGAAGTGGAGCCTGGTGTCGTTGAAGCGCGGGGGTCCTCGCACCACCATGTTGACGTTGACGGGCAGCTGGAGGCTGGCGTTGCCCGTGCACGGCAGGTACACCAGGAAGGACTCGATCTCCTGCGGCACCAGGCCCTTGTGGGGGATGCTCAGCGTGGGCGTGCCCAGGGCGTCCTGGTCGTTGGCGTACTCGATGCTGATGGCGTAGGGCAGCTGTGGGGAGTGCCGCACGTTAGATTGGGCCGTGGAGTGGAGTGGAGTGGAGTGGCGTGGGGTCTGGTCAGGTGTCTTACCGGATAGGCGATGAGGCTCTGCCAGGAGAACTCCAGCTCGTGGACGTCCGCGGGCACCGGGACGGTGAAGTGCATCGCGTATGTGTTAATGGATCCCTCGTGCACGTAGAACAGATCCGCCTCGAGTCCTGCGGAGGATAGGGAGCCACAGAGAGAACGAGTCAGGAGGATGCAGGGCAGACATAAAGGGAAAGTTTCCTCGCAATTTGCTGTGGCACACCCCCGTCCATTAGCGTGGCCCTCCTCCCGCCCCCCCCCCCCCTTTCACCCTGCTGAGCAAACTTTGTGCATTTGCTGTTTGCTCTCCCCTCAAGTCCCTTGCCGACGCCCTTGAGCGGAAATTGATTTTCACTTCAGCACAAAGGAAAAGGAGAGCGGCGAAGGGTGGTGGGTGGGTGTAGGGTGGAGGAAAGGTGGCAAGGGAGTGTGGCACGAGGTGACAACACTGGCGGGTAAACAACACCCAAGACACAATAATAATCGAAATCGAATCCGTCACTAGCAGCAGCGTCGCGACGCTGCGGGTCGTAGGACAGGCTCTGGGACTCCCCCAACTCAGAGAGTGGGAGATAAGGAGTGGTGGGTAGGAATGGGAGGGGGTGGTGTCGTGTGTTAAAAAAGGTGTCAAATGCTGCGGGAATCATCTTTCGGTGGAGTGCTGGAGAGCTCTGGCCCCTGTCCGGGTCCGGACTGCTTCCTAATCCTCTCTCCATCCTCCCACCTTCACCTTCCTTCCCTACACGCTGGCAATGTAAGACGAGACGAGCTGCTTGGGTTAAAACGACGTGAAATTAAATTTCTTCATCCGCTTTCATTGTTGCTCCTCCTCTGCCTCTGCCCATCCCCCCACCCCCTTCTGTGTGGTGCATTATTTACTCCCGGGGATCAGAATAAGCTTCGCTTTGCATGGATGCCAGCAGGGGAGCAGGGGGAGCAGCAGGAGCGGGGAATGCTGTTTGGTCTCTTCAACTTTCCGCTGCTTCTGCCTCTGACTGGCTCTGCCTCCGCTGCAGACTTCACCGGATGTTGAATGTTGCGATTCCGCTTCCGGCGGACCGGCAGAGTGGGTGGGTGGGTGGTTCAGTGGGTGGGTGGGAGTGGCAGAAGGAGTGTTGTGTGCATTTGGAGTGGAACAAAGCGCTCCGCGTGCTGTGCTGCTTAAAACAATTTCAAATCCAATTACAGAAAAAGAAAAGCGCTTTCCGTTCGCTTTCATCCTTCAATGTGGCCTCCACTTGAAGCATCTTCATCTTCCGACTGATCCAGTGCCCCAGCCCCTGCCCCAGCCCCAGCTCCAGCTCCTTCTTCTATTTCCATTTCAGCTTGGATTCGTTTTAGAGTCCCAAATTGCTTCGCCCCCCCACAGCGTACGCCGCTCTGACGCTGCCACAGACTCTGCGGCAGAGTGGGGCACGTGTGCCACTTTCCTTTGGCGTGTCCTTCGGTCACCTGCTGCCTGCTGCCTGCTGGCTCTCCCAGCGAACGATCCCGCAGAGCAAACCCCGAAACACAACCCAAAAGTGACTCCCATCAAATATGCACAAACAGACGAAAAGGACATCTCCACGCAGTCCTTTCTGCCGCTCTTCTCCTGTCAAAGGACAACCCTGACAAACTGTTCTGCAAAGGGTGGAAGGGGAGGGGTAGGGGTAGGGGGCTGCACTTGCGACAGCCTCAATTAATTCAGTTCCCTCATCTCGATTGGCCTCTTTGGGCGGGTGGGGGGTGGGGAACAGAATCCGCGAACTGCGCTTTGAGCATCCTGAATTGGCATTCCCACCCCCACCCACACACACACCCACCCTCCTCTCCAACCTGCCCAAGTTCAACCTCCTTCTGGAGTTATCTCCTCCAAGTGACTCCCCCTCCCCACCCCATCCCCCTCTGGCCGTGTCAAACTTTGCTCGTCTTTCATATTGCGCGTTCCTGCCAGTTGCTGCTGAACTTTTCCTGCGAAAGTTTTCCCCGCTTATGATTCATTCCCATTCCCCCTTCCCCTTCCCCCCCCCTGCCATAATTATAATACCTGCAATTGCGATTGTCTGAAGGACTCCGCCGCACACACGTGACGCTGCAACCGCAACGTGGGTGCAGAAGGGGAAGCGGGGAGGGGACTGGCAACTGGAGACTGTGGGGTCTGGATTGGATTGGCTGGAGAGTGGAGGGTGGAAGGCAGTTCCGTGTTAGTTTTCAGCTCTGGCACACTTTGCATAAAAGATTAAGAGGATAATTAGTGTCATTAGTGCGGAGACAGCAACCCTTTCCCCTTACCCCCTCTCCATTCTCTGGGGAGTGCAGTGGCACCTTGTCGCTGATTAAAGGGGAATCCCTGCAATCCCAGTTCCCTGCAATTGTCATCCGAATCAGAGGCGAGAATCGCCCAATTGGCACAGATTCCAATACCCTCCCCTCATGGTGGCTTCCAAGTGTCGAACCACCCCTGGAAAGGACCAGCAAGGGACTGGCGCAGGACCCACAGGGATGGAGCATATTAATGTGGGATTTTCGGACTGTTTTCTATTCATTAAAAATAATTTTCTTTTGCATTAACTTTTCATTCTTTCAAGGGGAAATTTGCTCCGTTTACTCTCTGAAGGTTGAGTTCTGCCCAAAGGGGGTGCGGTGTGGGCTGAGGGGGAAGCTGGTCCGAGGGGGTGGGGGATCGGGAAAAAGGAAAAGTGTGCACATCAAAGCGAAACTTGTTGAAATTGCATTTTTACGCACCCTTGAACCGGGAAAGTCTTCAAGGAGATGGTGCGGAGGATGCAGGGGGGCGGGGAGTGGGTGTCGCTGTCGGTGTCGCTGGCAACGAATGCGGAAAAGAGGAAAAATTGCTGCCGTTTCTGGGGCAACTGACGGGAGAACAGAACCAAATTGAACTCAGAGGCGGAAAATTCTCAACAAAAGCGTAAAAAATATTTAATTTCAATGTTGTCGTCACTTCATTGCAGAGACAGGTGGGGGGAGGGGAATGGGGATGGCCCGAGAAGCAGCAGAAATCGTGGGGCGGACGGGGGCAATCGTCGAACTTTGTTTACAGTTCCATGGCACTCGCAGACACAGAAGATGGAGAAGCCCCAAAGGATGCAACATATTGTTGTGGGGGGGGAGAATCGAATCCCATTTCCATGCTGCAAGATGGTCCTGGGAGGGGGGTCTTTCGGTAACTGGAGCCTGCCTTCCGCTTGAACGGTCTTCCACATGGGATGGTGAGGGGAGTGTGGTGTATTGGTGCTGGCAGGGGGAGTGCGGGTCAGTTTGTTTGATTTCATGCTGCTGCTTAATTTTCCACTGGCAACGGCAACGGCAACGGCAACCATCCCCAAAGCGGGCGGAATGTGAAGGTGGACGGTAGGTGGGGAGGGAGAGGGGTGTTAACTGGCAGTTAAAAACATAAAGAGCTACAGGCAGGGGGTGGGTGGGGAGTGGAGTGGAGTGGTGAGGCCAAAGGAGAGAAAATCTCCAAGCAATCGACCAAAGCAAAAGGAATTTTCACAGAGCGACAAACAAAGTGGAAAATCTTTTGAGTTGTCGCTAATGAAATCCGATTGGCATGGGCCGGACAGTGGGCGGGAGGGGAGGTGAGAGGTGCGCAAATGAGAGGAGTGCGGGGGTCCCTCTGGAGGGCGGCAATCGACAGGAAGGTGCCTGCATTCATGCCCCATCGACCTCGAATGCAATTGAAAGCCTTCAAAGAGAGTGGAGGGGAGTGAATGCATTTCAAGCACAGGGGAGGGAAGCGACTGAGGTGGAGAGACATCAGAAGTAGGAGCAGGGGTAGGGGTGGGCGGAGTGCTCCATCCATCACTCTAGTATCCATCTCCATTTCCATTTCCATTTCCACTTGATGTTGATGTGGATTTGGATTATTTTTTGGGCCATCAACTAATTGAAGTGGCTCTGATTTGGCAACTAGGAAACGGAGGGGTGGCATAGGCATAGGCAGGGGGGGCAGTGGCACAGCCGTGGCCTGGATAATGAGATGGAAGCCTTTATGCTCCAATTACAGTTAAGTGCCGGAAAATGCTGTGACCAGCTAAGCGACGAATGATGGAGTGGCGGAGTGGCCAGGAACTGGGACACCTCTCCACTTCTGCCCCCCTTGTGCTCACAATTTCGGAGTTCCACTTCCTGCACCCTCTCCCCTCTTCCCTTTTTACCATTTTCCATTCCGATTCCTGTGATCCATTAATCAACGCGAGGAGCAGGAAAATCGCGAGCCAAACGACAGGCACGAGGCCATTCCGCTGTGGCACGTCGAATGAATCCTGCCTATGACTATGTCCCGGACCATGGAGAGGGGAGGAGTGCAGAGGAGTGAGAGGCGTCTTGGCCTTGGAGCCGATCTGGAGCCGGCGCCATCAATAACAGGAATTCGCGTGAAGCAACAAACGCAAAAACAAGAAAACAAACAACGGAACAGCAAAACAGCAAAACAACACGGAAAGTAGGCAAGAGAGAGAGAGAGAGAGAGGGGGGGTGGGGTGGATAAGCAGGGGAAGTGGCAGGAGTGGGAGGCAGGAAAAGCTACTTGCCGCTGTCAGCAAGGGGGGTGGGGAACGGAAATCGATTTGTGTGCGATTTGTTCTGTTTTCCTCCATCGACTCCAGCGACTCCTCGCTCCACTTCCATACACTGCTCCACCTACTCCCCACTCCCCCCTCTGGTCAAGTATAATTTCAGAACTATTAATGACCACGACCCAAGAGTCCTGGACTTGGGGGACTGCCTGCTTGTGCTTCCGTGTTCCGGGATCAATGAATGTGTCCTGTCGCACTTTGTGCCCCAACTATTAATCATCGCTCGGTGTGGGGAGGAGTGTGCCTGGAAGGGGGGCGTGTCAGTCTGAGGTTTGTCTCCAAATCGAAATGAGGTTTCATTACGGCCAAAGGAGAAGGGTGTGGGGGGAGACAGGAACTGGAACTGGGACTGGACTTACCCATCAGTTTCATCACCTCGTGGTGGCTGATGAAAATGTTCAGATAGCCGCTGACCGAAGGCGTCCGCCAAGTGGCCAACGAGAGGCAGAGGAGCAGCAGCAGCTGCGGCAGGGAACGGGCTCTGAAGCAGGCCATGGCGTGGTGCGGAGGATGCAGTGGGGGGGCAGGATGCCTAGTGGGTGCAGAGTGCAGCCAATAAGTTGTCAGAGCATGTGCCCAGCGCTTCCATTTCAGGTCCGCTTCTCCACGTCCTGCCTCGGATGCAGTCGGTGGCAGCCAATCTCAGGGTGTGGCCTGGCGGGACTGGCAGGGAGGAACTTCCTGCTTTTTTGAATGTGTGAATTTGAATCCCAGCACAGAGGCCCAGAGCAGAACAAGCGACGCGGCTCTGAAAGAAGCGCCAAAATCAAATTCCAACTGCTGCTAACAGTTCCGGATGCAATGGGCCGGTGGGTGGTGGTTCGGTCTGCCGTAATTTGGAACTTTTCAGCCTCTCCTTCCGCCTGTGCCCCCTTCACATTCCTCTCTGGTTCGGGCTTTTCCAACTCCCGAACTCGGGCGCTCAACTTTTCCTGTTTTGTTTTGCCTGTCGTTGCCGCTGCTGCTGCTGCTGCCGCTGCTGCTGCACTTCCCACTCGTCCTCCTGCTCCTTTGGCTGGATTCGCTTGTCGCCTGCCCTGCGCTTCCGGCTCTGGCAGACTTTTGCAGGACTTTTATTGGCTGAGCTCCTGCGAACTGGCCCCGATGCTGCTCTTCCTTCTGTCTGCTCTGGTGTGTTGTTTTGCGGCTGCCTGCTGTCACATTGACCAGTCGATGGCACATAAAAGCTGTCGCTGTCCCTGCCCCTGCCCCGTTCCTCGTCCTCGTCCAAGTCCTGTTCCTGTTGAATAGAAAGTGATTTATTTTATTTCAGTTTGACTCGAGAAGCTGCCACAGAAGTTGCACATGGAAGAAGCTGAGGAAGGATGCAGATGGGATCAGTGTGGGGAGGGTGCGGGTCCTGTGGTCCTGGGGTTGAGTGATTCCCTGCCAGAGTCAACAATTTGTAAATGCGAATTTCAGGGAATAAAAAGTAATTATAAACTTGAGAGAAGATTAACAACGGCTTAGAGGATTCCGGAGGGGCTGCATCCGGAGGAGACTCCGTCAGAATTCACTTACATACACACAGCACACATTTGTGGCAGTATCAAGGGAGGGGGAAGAGGCAGGGGCTGCCTTAATATATTTGAGGTTATATTTATGTGTTTGTTTGGCATAAATTATGAACTGGAAAAAGGGAAAAACTTTTGGCATTCGAAATGTTTGTGGTTCAAGTGGTTTGCCTTTGCCCCCCCTACCCGCTGCCCGCTGCCCACACCCTCCGACCAGCCCCTTCCCTGGCTGTGGCACTGTTTATTCAGCTGTTCCTGCCACTGCTGCTGCCCCTCTCTTCCCCTCAATCCCTGCTGGTTGCGTGTGCAGGTAACTTGAATGGAATTCCAACTGCAACATGGGGCACGCAGGAGAGTGAAGTGCAGGCGATTGTGGCAGGGGGCAGGGGGAAGCGTAGGCATGACAATGGAAGAGGCAGCTGGGGAACAGGAACGGGAACAGTCGAGTGCTTCCAAAATGAAATTGTTGCCAAGAAGCAGCAGCAGCAGCAGCTGCCCCACTTGCCCCAAATCTCCATGGGAATTCTCTCCTCTTCTCTCTCTCTCTCCCTTCACTCTGTTTCCTGCCTTTCCTTTTTCTAGCCGCAATAAAAATCGAAATCGGAAAAGTTTGTTGCCTTCGCTTTCCCATTTCCCGTTTTCCATTTCCCCTTTCTCGTTTTTCTCGCTTTGAGCATTTTCGAAATTTTAAAGTTTTACAAGCGGAAGATAGTTGTGGCAGCGGGCGGAAAGTGGGCGTGGCTAAAGAATTCTGCGGCCATTTTAATTAAACTTATCTGCGGCCAAAAAGTGCCGCAGGATGCCAAGAAGGAGGCAGTTGATTAAGAGCCAGATCAACATCGGCATCTCCATCATCAGCATCTCCATCATCAGCATCAGCAGCCAGGGAAGGATAAGGAAAAGGATTCACATCTCGGCATTCGGAGCCATTCAACGAATGCATTCATTAATAATTCAAAAGACAAACAAACCCAACGAAGGGGATGTGAATGTGGGGGGGAGTGGGGGGGGTGGAGCGCCATGTGAGTGTGTTTGCTTTGGGGGAGTCTCTGTAACTGATTTAAGTGGAGCAGCAGACAAACAGCCAGCAGGGCGCACTTCCGAGCGCTGCTCGCGAGGGAGATGCCACGAAAAGGGTGTAACAGGAGGCCACCCCACAGTCCCCCCTCGGCGGCTGATACTCCCCTCCCTGTCTTAGTCGATAACATATTAACGACATCGACTCAATCATAATCAGGAGTGGAATGGAGTGGAGTATGGAGTAAGGAGTGGGAGCTACTGCTGAATATTTTCTGCCTAGTCACACGAATCATCTGTCAGTCAGTCTGCCACGCCCCCCGCTTCCATATGCCCCCTCGGAAAGTGACAAATGGATCCATGCGGCATTGTCTGCACAGCCGAGGCACGCTGATGAGATGAGCAAAAGATGAGGCCATAATGGATGCTGGGGGCTGGTGGGAAACTTTTCAATTACTCGCCACGAACTGTGGCTGAAGGAGGAGCAGGCACTGGGTGGGGGGAGCCGTGCCCCAAGTTGGATCTCTAATGAACAATCATCTTTGCTGCTGCCATTATTTCTGCTCCACCTGCAACTGCCTGGGCTGGCTCTTCCATTTTCCCTGCTAATATTTATCGATGTGTATTATTTTCTCCGTTTTCGCTGGCTTCCCCCTGCCCCCCCACAGTGGTCCTAGATTGAAAAGGCTGCCGCCGCGAGACGCCCCGAGGCACCTCCCCGGCTCGTTTCAATTATAAAATGGCTTTCGCTTCTAATTGAATGGTGGGTTTGAGCGGGGGCTGGGGGTGGACGCAGAGTTAATATTTTATTTCGAGCAATTGAACGGCCCTTCCCCCCACATTTCCAACTGGCTTGCCCTGTGTGTTTGCTTAGCGTTTCCAGCTCCAACCCCACAATCCACAATTCACTTTCCGGCCCCCATTTGTTGTTGCTTGTTCGGAGCCAACAGCCGCGGGGCCTGCTCGAGCAGCAACAGAGACGGCGAGTGGATGATCCTTCCTCTAACGATGAACAACCTCCGACAGGGAGTGGGACATCCGTCTCCTTGACTATTAAAACTCCGATGAAATCTATTTGGATAGCCCCAAAAACGGATGCGAAAACAAAAACAAATTTCGCATACGACCGGGTAATTGGAGGGGCCGCCATCGCCATCATTCAGTAAGTTGAAACTCCAATTTAGTTTTGCCATCGGCCCTGATTTACGTATAGTTTTTGGGCCCAGAACGTGGTATCGAATTGCACATCCATCGAATGTTTTATGGTTCGTATTTGGGGCTGTCTCATTAAATTTAAATGCATTTCCCGCGGCCATTCGGTGTTGGGTTCTATTTGGAGAACAAACAACACGCAGCTCCCCGGGATGGACTCCATTAAACTGGCGTAAATATGTCGAAAATGAACTGCAATTGGAATACGCGGACCCAACCCGTACACGGGGCAGCACGACAAATGGCCTGGCCATAAATTCTGATAACTGATTAAAAGAAAGGAGCGACAGTTGGACACTGTTTACCTGACATTCGCATTCCCATTCGCATTCGCATTCGCATTCGCATTGTTGTATATTTAATGCGCAAATGTTGGCGAATGTTTTGCCAGCGATGGGGGGAACCTCCCTCCTGCCTCCTGCCTTTTGCCTCTTCTCTTCCGGTCTGTACTGGGCCTAATGTCCGAAATGTTCGTTGGCCTGGCTAATTTGTACAGCAATTAATTTACATTAAGGAGAATGGGCGGCTACAACTGGCAACTGAGTGGCAGGGGGCATGGGGCAGAGGCTACAATTTGTTTCTTTTTTGTTTCATTTTGTCGCTGCGCTTCGACGAGCAAACGATTCTGGCCTGCCCGCCCCCCATGTGTGTGGCAATTATATATATATGTATATGTGTACAAATACTCTCGTATACATGCCCCAAAATGCCCCACGGCACTCCTGATTGGGGTGGGGGTCGTGGACTGTGGGCCGTGCAATTAAATTCGAAATTTGTGCAATTTCGCACGCTGACAGTTCCCACTTAATGTGGAAGCTGCTCTAATTACAAACTGTTTCGGAACAACTATTGCAATTATGCTACCCATAAACCTGGTAAATAATTGATATTTGAAACCATTTCATTCGACTCCGGGCGCTGTCTAGTGGGCAGCCTTCGCAAGTGTGAACCTGAGTGGATGTCAGCACCGTTTGGTGGCTAGATTGGAGTGTGAAGCTGTACCTTTAGGTATATCCCAAGGAACTGTCCGATGTGTCGCATCTTTTGGCTTTAACTTCTCTACATCGCAATGCACTTCCTCTGACTCCTCTCCAAGCACAAACACCATATACCCTTGTAAGCTGCTTGTGCTGGGTACAAAATTAACCAAAACTGGTCATTTGCAAACCAACTGTGGGGACTGACACTGCTCCCGAAAGGCGTCAGTTTCCCATGGAAACCAGATCAGAGTTTACACCAGAAAAGCCAAGGACTGACCACACCATTCATTCCCTCACGGAGCTGCCCCCCAGCTTTTCCTCCGAGTGTAAACTTTTGCGAACGGCTCCGCTTGTTCGTATGCAAGTGATTCCCTAGCAAATAACCTCATAATGACCGTCTCACATATCCAGTGCCACAGCCAAAGCCAGAGCCACTGCCAGTGCCTGATCCAGGGCCTGGGCCCAGTGGACCCCCAGCAACCGGGCAGCCGGGCAGCCGGGCAGCCATTCAACATGAAATACAACCTCAATTACGTTTTACGAGTTTAACTCAACACCGTGCGGTTCTCTGATGGGAATTTTCAATATTATGTGGCGTAAATTTATTGCGCAAAGTGACAGAAAAGGAGCTAAGCGACAACACCCAGCACTTTTATCTGCCAAGTGCCATAAAAGTATCTCCACGACAGACGGGGGCCATTTTAAAGCTGGGCGAACGGCCGTTCGACAATCCCCAGGCCCAGACAATGGGCAATAATCATTGATTTATGGCTGTCATTTTGGTTATTAAAATGATATTTTGAAAAGCAAACGAGAAAATCTGACTTGGCAGGGCGACTTAGGACTTAGGACGTGGGGGCCGACATCAGAGGCTGCTATCTGGGTCAGGCCACAGCGAGAGGCCCCCTCGCTGCTCCCGCTTTTGAGTTTTATGCCCCTAATTGAAACATCAAGCAGAGTGTCCCACAATTGAGCGCTAAAAGCGTGCCTAATCTATGCATATTTTTACCAAAGACCCCCTAATCAGGGTCGGGGCATGCGGCATAAACTGGAGCATTGGAGCAGGACGTGGCAGGACGTGGCAGGACGTGGCAGGACGTGGCAGGACGGGGCAGGGCTAAAAGACGAGTAAAGTTTTCTATGGGCTCGACATTTAGTTTCGCTTTCTTGTTGTTGGGTCCAGGAGCACTTAGCCATTCAATCAACGTTGGACGGTTACCCTGTCGTGTCGAGGCGTTGGCGTGCAAGGATTTGGGTGTGGGATACGATACGACGGGGAGGGGTGGGTGGGCTGTGCTAAGTGTTGGGTCTGCCCCATTCAGAGCTGGCGAAGCGCAACGAAAGATTTGCATTTTCCTCTTTATTCTTTGGCGGGGGGGAGTTGCTCATTTTCAACGGAGCCGCGCAGCTGAGCTCCTTTTTGGGCTCCACTTGGACTTGCATTACCGTTTTTATTGCCTACTTTTCAGCACTTCGTGAGGGGCCAGGAGCGCAGTGAGGGAAAGGAAAGCTTTTAATCTCGCACATTGCAATTAGTGTCAGACGCCATGTCCACCCTCTAAAAACACACACACATACAAACACACACACACACAAATACATTCACTTCCTCTTTGGGCAAATTCACGCAGTCACGCAAGGCGACAACAAGAACAGAAGAGAACAGAAAAAAAAGGAAATAACGTGCGGGGAGGGGGGGGTATGAAATTATTTATTTAGTTCCAGTTGAAAGTTTGAAATGGGTGCGATTGACTGTGACGGGCTTAAGCGGGTGTTGAGGCCATCCGTGGCGAGCAAAAACACATTAAATGCTTACTTATCGGCAACGCAATCGGCTTTCCGGCTGTCAGCACTCGAATGATGTGGGCTGGGTGATGGGTGCCCAGACTTAATCCTTTTACGAGGCGATTGGACACAGACACTCGCGATACGCGACACTCGACACTCGACACTCGACACTCGCGCACCACCAACAACACCTCACTTTGTCCTGCACTCTGACGCTGGCTCCAGCTCTGGTTCCGATTGAGTGTGAGCCCTGATTAGCACGCCGTCAATATTTTCCGTTTCACTGGGATGCACCTTGGGCGCCACAAAATAACCGCCACAGCGACAATGACAACGACAACCACAACCACATCCACAACGATGATGTCGTCGGCGGCCCTTATTAATGATTTGGCTTTGGGGTCGCGGGAACAGCTTGTTGTTTGTGTCAACGATGACTACTGGACGGACAGGAGGGCTTTACCCGTTCTCACGCACACACGACAGCGATGAAAGCAATGAAAGCGACGTGGACTGCGAGTTCCGTTCGAGTGTTCCGCTGCTCGAGGTCCTCGGGTGACCGTTTGTTCGAAGAAGTGGCGAGCGACTGAATCAGAAGCAGAAGCAGAAGCAGCGACTGAATCCTGAATCCTCTGCCGAGCACTCGACTCGACTGCACTCGTTCCGAAGCTTCCACGAAGTCCGGCTCGGCTCGGCTCGGCTCGGCTCGTCTCCGCTGTGGGCACATGCGCAGGGTCGGCTGGGTCGGCAGGCCAGGGCAGGGAAGGGAAGGGAAGGGCTTTGCCGAAATGCCGGCAGTAAGTATTGTGTCCTGCGGGGCCTTTTGCGGGAAGGGTTTTCAGGGCAGGAGAAAGGACAATTGTTTGTTTTGTTGCTGCCCGCCTGCCCTCCTGCCTGCCTGCCTGTCTGCCACATGCAACTGTTGCGCATTTTTTTTGCAAATGGCTAGCGATAAATGCGGTTGTTGTCGTTCTTGCTTAGTCGAGTTCTAGTTCGTTGCTGGCAACTAGTTCGTTCACTTTTCGAGAGTCCCAACTTACGTTTGGGAAACGTTAATTTCATTGTTAAAATAATCCCATGGAGTTCTGCATTCAGGTATGACCTTCGATCAGCTCTCTCTTAGCTCTCTCCAACTCTCGTTCCCTGAAGCTCCAAGTTCCGCATTCTCCGTATTCTCGTTCCGGTACGAAGCATCACTGGGAAACGATGGCAGGGCGTGGAGTGTAGGGGACCTCGAGAGTGATTTCAGTTGCATTTTGGGGCATGTTGCGTGGCATGTGAAGGCATATCTGGCAGAGAAGGATGAGAGGGTTAACCCTCTAGTGAGTTGTGGGGGAGGGAGAACAATGCAGCGAGGTGGCCAGCGAGAACGGTGACATACACACAGACACACACAGACAGACAGACAGACTGGCAGAGAGACTGGCCAAAAGTTTATCTAATTGTTGTAGTACATGTACCATAAGTGAATAGGAGTATACACGGGTATGTGTGTGGAATCTGTGCTGGTTTGTGGGAGGGAGTGAGACCTGATGTATGGCTCTGACAAGTAGCCCAATTTCGCAGCAACAAAATTCAATTTGTCACTCAAAAGCCCCACGACGAAACGGAGCAATTTCCTGGCAGCAGAAGGAGCCAACAGGCCTGGTCGGTCGTGGCAACAATCTCCCAACTAATTAAATAAAACGAACTCCGAACTAAGCAAATTGGGCGACTTGTCGCAGTAATTACATCAAAATATCTAAAAAAGAGAAAAGAAGAGAAGCAGCACCGAAGAAAGAGCGAACTATGCACAAAAGTCCAGGCGACAGGGAAAAAAAAAACCAGAAACAGAAGTACTTCTCGTACTCGTATATATGAGCTCTGTCAGCTTGATTCATTTGGCAACAAAAACTTTGGGCAGTTGGCTGGGGAACGGGGAAGGGGGAAGTGGGACAGCGACAGGTCCTGTCCGGCTGACAGATGGCCTAGATGGCCGCACTCCACGCTGAGGAGGGGCCGACATTTTTACGACAAAAAGCTTAATTTGCTGGAAGAACGAATGTCAATTAAAATTTTTTAATGAAATAACTTTCGTTGATTTGTTCCCTCCCCTCCCCGCTCCGCGCCGCTCCGTTCCGTCCCAGTCTGGATGGGACATGGGCGGACAGCTACAGGAATTCAATTAAAAAAGGTTGATTAGTTCGCCATTAGATCGGTGGGGCAGGCCGCCTCATTACCGAAGCCAACAGGAAAGGCCCCAACTTTTTCTCAGATCTCCCACTTGGACGCCACATCGCACCCTGGGACACTTTTGGACTTTTAATTAAGGCCAAAAGTGCGAAGGGCAATCGGGCAGGAAGCAGGAAGCAGGCAGCAGGCAGCAGCAAGCAGAAGCGAAGAGGGGCACTGAGGAAAGTAGCGAATCGAAATGAAAAGAAAACCAATTACCAATCATAACAAGGCAAGTCAAAATAATTGAAATTTTCATGGCTAACCAGCCACGGCAGAGCGTTCCGCCGTGTCAACCCCTTTTCAATTCTGCAATCTGGGGACATTCCGCTGCGAGCTGTTGGCACGTGGAGCACGTGACTCAAATGGAGGCCATTAGGCTGCCATCAGGTTAACCTGCCAGTGATAAGGCCTTGATTTCTCAAGGGGTGCCACCAGCCACTGATAAGGGGACCAGACCACTAATCCCGCCGTGCAATCGAGGCACACTCCATCCCCATTCCTCTTCCAACGAGCACTCCCTGCCCGACTCATTCCACCGCCTGGTAATGCACGGAATATGGGAGCAAAAGCTGGAGAAAATGGAAAAAAAAAGAGAAGCCCGTGAGAGGTTAAGCCAGAGAGTAACCCCCAAACAATGCAACAAATGGCAGTGCTAAAGCGGATAACGGACACAATAAGCAGCCACAGTAGTAAATGGAAGTGGAAGTAGAAGTGGAAGAGCACTAAATAGTTGCAGGAGAGCAGCAGGAAGAGCTGCCACAGAGTGCCAAAGTTCACACCAACCCCACCAGGGGGAGTGCAGGAAAAGGGTGGGATGCGGAGAAGGATAAAGATAATAATGCGAGAGTAAAAACAAATATGCGAGACTCGATCTGCGGCAGAGACTTGGCTGAGACTGAGAATGTGTGCGAGTGGCAGCCACGCGAGCGACAACAAATAGAAAATGGAATCAAATCGCAATAAAACGAAACGAAACAAAACAAAACAAATATAAAAGAATCGCAGGAAAGGGGGGAGAGAATGAGGGAAAACTAAACGGAATCCCCCTAATGCAGCATGTAAACAGAATGGGCACGTGACCTGGAAGGGAGCACCCGGCAGGGCAGAAGGAGGCAGAGGCAGAGTCTGGACTCTGGAGTCTGGAGTCTGGAGCTGCGGGATAAGCAGCAAAAGTTGCCGAGCGGCCAACAAATTGCCGCATGAAAGTAATCCTGACAGGCTGCAGATTGTTGCGCCATCATAAAACCCCGTCGGAGGTGGACACGGAGGCGTTCACGGACATTGAGACGGCGCCAGGATCTAGGATCCGAAAAGGGAAGCACTTTGCGAGCTGGCAGACATTGTACTGCCCTGAGGGTGGAGTGTGGGTTGTGCATTATTCACACCAGCAATGACCATGCTGCCCCCCATTGCCATTGCCATTCCCATTGCCATGGCAATCCAATCCCCATCCACGACTCCGATTGCATCTGCAGTCTGCCTCGACTGGCTGTCAAATCAAACATCTTTGGAGCAATCTCAAACTGGCAAGGCGAGGAAAAGATGACTGGCCAGTGGATGGCCGTTCTTCGTGGCCGTTTCCCCCACAACTGTCGAACCATTTGCTGCCATTTTCGGTGACTTCCTTCATCGCTTCCACTCGCTTTGGGACTCGGGACTCTTCTTTTATATGAGTTGCAGTTGAAATACTTTTCGTCTTGATGGCAACTTCTCCCCGTCCGGGCAACTGGCATTCCGCCACGATTGCCTCACGTATTTTCCAGCTGTTAATTAGCTCGATAAATGTGAAAATAATGGGCGAGTGCGGCGTGGAAGTTATTTGGGAAGCAGCTCTCAAGTGGGCCAACGACTCTTGGCCGGGCGAAAATGTTATTTCATGTCAGACAATTTGTTGGGCGCTTGGCCCTACTCCGGCATCCAATCAGGACTTTATGGCCAGAAGTTATGAAGTCCGAAAGATAATAATGCGCCAACACTTTATGCTTTCTGCTTGGCACTAACTCAAATCCGCCAACAGCCAACAGCCGACAGCCAACAGCCGACAGTCGCCTCAACCAGCAACAAGGCCAAGTTTGAGCGAATAGTTTTGGCGTGGTGGGAGGGGAGGGGGCAAAAGGGGAAATAATAAAGTTAAGTGCACTGCAAGAAAACGCTGCCAACTTCCGCCGCTCCGTTCCAGTGCAATCAGTCACGACAATCACATTTTACGATATTATTATTGCCGAGCCAAACTAGAATCAAAGTCGCAGCCAACTTTCAGTGCCCCCGAAAGTCAGCCAAGGAAATTGCTCGCCGCCTCGCCTCCCATGCAAAGCGGCAAAAGCGCCTCGGGGGTGTCGGAAGTGACGGGAAACTTTCATGGCCAGAGACCAGACTCGAGGACGGAGACCAGTGGAGAGCAGCCAGGAGTTGGGAGGCGGCCAAAGAGGATGGAGACAGCAGCCGCAACATGGAAGATCTTTACATGGGACGAACGAGAGGAGAGGAGAAGGAGAGTGGCGAGAGGGCGAACTTCTTAGCCGAAGCCTTTTATTGGTCTCCGCAGCTGGATGTGCCCCCACTCGCATTTGGGGCAGCAACGGGAACGGGGAGCTGTACTAAAGTAAATGAAGCGTGACGCTTTGTTTTCCTTTGATTTAGTTTTATGAGTCTGCATCGGATGTAATTGAATTATGCAAGTTGGCGCCGCCGCCGCCCGACGGCAGACGACTTTATTAGCATTCGATCGTAAAGTGCGGGGGCATGGGGTGCTGCAGGGGGGGCGACACGGATAAGGATGAGGGGATGATGACACCGATGATGTGTCTGTGCAGGCCAGGAGGCAGGATACGGGCGGATTCAGACATGGTTACGCTTTTTAGCAGTGATATTTGAATTTCAGATGATTCCCAATCCCCCCCGCACAACACCACACCACACCACACGCAATGAAATGAGTTGGAAAATATGTGGATGTGGAGACAGGATGCAGGATACACGCAGGATAACAGCGCAGCCAGAGGAGCAGGCAGTGCCACAAGCCGTGGCACAGATAAGCAACCCAATGAATCCGCCATTCGACGGCAACAGAAGGGAGTCGGAATGGGGATGGAGAAGGGGAATCGGAATTGGAGTCCATAATGAAATGACAATGCGGAGA